GGGGGGGGGAAGATATGATCTTGTAATTGAAATAATTAAAACTAACTATCCTTTTCTTTTCATTCTTACTTTAAGGCGTGTTTTTTGTCTTAGTTTGATAGTTTGATTATTACATTCCAAATCTAACATTACTCTAGTCTCCATCCCCTTTTACACCTCAACATTCTTTTTTTCAATACTATAGCATCTATTTTCCCTGGGAGATCGGAATCAAAACAGTATTAGATGAAATTACCCGATTCAGCCATGTACGCGAATGGGGTTTCAAAATACGAGGGTAGGTAAGCCATTATAGCGGAACGGTGTCGCAGGTACGTGCTTATGTGTGTATGTGAGCTGAGGCACGCATGTGCAGTAGATGTATGTGTGCGGGATTTGAGGTGGGAGTAATGAGGAGAGTATGCGGCGTTTGCGCTGGGAGAGGAAAAATTGTAATAGAGAAAAGAATGATTCATTTCAAGACTCATCGGTATGAATATCGAAAGTCTAGAGAAAAAAAAATACCAAAAAAAATTACATTTCATTCGTTTAGGACCGAGTGTAACATCCGGCTTTCTATTTCCCCCTCCCCGTTTTCTTAATTCGTATCGTTACTAACATATCCCATAAATTCATCCAAAAAAAAGTCATCAGACATCGTAATTCCAGCCCCCCAGCCATGTCATAAACCTCATACATATGAGCGGCACGATAAGGGCAAACAAAAACAGACAGACAAGCCTGAAAAGGAATGTACGGGTACAACCCAAAGGGAAACCTAATAATACACTAAACATGGTACGATTACCACGCCATCATGTCTCGGAAGCTCAACCTTAATAGTCCCTCCTCCGATGCCTCCTCGTCTTAACCGGCGACCCATTACCCTCCTCATCGCTGCTAAAATAGTCGTAATCATCCTCGTACTCGTCATCACGACCATAGTCGTATCCACGATCAGGGCGGCGATCGCGCCTATTATCGTCTCTGGAACGCTCGTCTCCCCTGCTACGCTCCTCTCTGCGCTGATACTCGTCGCGATGTTCGGTAGTAGGACCGCGAGATTTGGAGCGAAGCCGGTCGATAATACTGCGGCTTCTAGCGCGCAGACCAGGGGCTTTGCTGCTGCGGTCCTCCCGGTCATGTGGGCGAGTGCGCGAGCGGGAGCGAGAACGGGATGCAGAACGGCGGTCGCTTCGACTCCTGCTTATGCTGTCAGAAACTCTTTACGATGGGGCCACAACAAAAGACGCATGGCTGTATTGATTGTATGAATGCAGTACAAACGCACCTTGAACGTGTCGCCAGTTGCCGGGCGCCGAGCGCACCTGCCGCTGCTCCTGCAAGCGTCGTCAGTCTACTTTTACCCATGGTCCTGCCTGCAATTCCGCCAGCCAACGCACCTCCCACTGACGCCGCCAGCCCTTTCTCGCGAAGGTCCATACTGTCGAATCTACCACGCACTTTAGCCATGCGTGAATCTTCTCGACCATGGTCCTTGCTAGAATGGGATCGACGGGAGTGGGAGTCGGCAGACCTGGCTCGATTCCTATGCCCATGTTCGCCACGGTGCCGGTGGCTGCGGTAGGGGTCTACAGGAGGCGGGGCATATTGGACGACGTCTTCGCGCGCAACATGAGGAGCATAAGCTGGATACGGTGGGTTGGGCGTGGGGCTGTAACCAGGCTGAGAGTTCGATCTTTGACGGCTGAATGGCGGTGGCGATGGTTGATATCCCGCGAACTCAGTATGATGGTAGGGGTTCAAGGGCGAGTTTGAACCAACTGGTGGCGGAGGAATAGAAGCATCACTCATTGGTGCAGCATTATATGCACCATTGGGAGCGTATCGAGAGTGGCTTCGATGGGCATCCTGCTGCGTGTAGTCTGAATCGACGCCTCGGGTTGAGGATGGTGCTGGCTTCTGGGGATTAGTGAGTGGACGCTGAAGCAAGGCTGCGAGAGGCGGCTCATATGACGGGGTAAAGGAAGCAGAAAGTGGAGAAGCACGAGAAATATTGTCAAGGAAACGAGGTTTAGACATCAAGGGACTTGACGGCGTCGATGTGGTCCGGCTCTTCGACATCGGCCGACTCGTGTCCGCCGGTATCGAATGCTCGGGCATCGTCGCAAGTGTCGCACGTCGAAAAGAGGAAAAATTATTTACCTGGGGCGAGTATCCGTATGTAGGCGTTGCCGATGGCTGGCGTTCTTGGCCAGGCACCGGGCCGGGAGCATACTGCTGGGGCTCGTAGGGCTTGTATTCGGATGTTGGCGGAGGAGGAAAATAGGGCTGTCTTTGGTCGGGCTGGGCCATGATTTCTTGCGATTCGCTACGTGAGCCGTCAAGGTCACTGCTGTGCTTATGACGTCGGCCTCGACTTGGACTTCTGCTAGAACTTCTTCCAGCACTCCTTGCACGTCGTCGTTCTTGCTTTCTTGGCTCGTGATCACGGTCGTAATTGTATTCTTCGGCAGACTGGTCGGATGGGCTGAGGTCTCTTCGTGAGCGGCGTGCGCTCGAGTGGTCTTCGCTCCTGTATCGTTGTCTGGTCTCGTTTTTCTGACGGTCTTTGCGGTCCTTTCCAGCGTTTTTCTCTTCTTGTGGGGTGAAGTAACCGCCTGGGATCTTGTGAAAAAACTTGTCGGGAATCTGCTCTGCGCCGTAGCTAAGAGCCTTGAAGGCGAGGGCCGCCATCTTTCAAAGGGTCCACAGAATCCGGATGTCGGAATGTGACGTAGGTTTGACTTATGCGCCGCACTCTGATTGGAGCGCACTCAACTGGGCCGAGCAAAAAGACGGGGGAGCCTGGCAAGGAGGACGGGGTGCAGAAGTTCTGGGTATGAGAGTGGCGGATTAGAGAGCAGATGTTGTAGAATGAGGAATATGCGTCAAGTTGGGAGCGTTGGGCTAGTTAAGGTCGCTGTTGGCAGTGTGGACGTTGGAAGAAGCAAGGTGACTGAGGTGCGTGCGTATGTGAGATGGTGTGCGATGTGGCGAGTGGATCTTGATGAGCAAGGGAGTAGGAGGCAATTAGCCTGGTATGTATATCCTCACTGGGCACCTGCGCTTAAACCCCACGATATACCCCGATTTGATGCTTCAGGGCGAGCCAGTGCCAGGCGCGTTGGCGAGGTGGCTGCGATGACGTCGTTTCTAGTCCTGGTGGCTCGTGCACTCTTGCTTTATTGGAGCCGCATCTCAAAGATCGCCTACACGCCTACGTACCATGGGAAATAGACCTATACGAGCAAAATGGTAGCTCCATGTATGTCGCAATCATGGATGTTGCATGTTCTGAAGGATTCGAGACATTCCATGACTGCTGCTTCACAATCACTGCGCCGCAACTGCAAGAGGCCATGGACACATACACACATACACACAAGATGCCAGTTAGTGCCCAACACCCTCTTGTGTGATCCTGGATACGATATAGAATTGCCACAGAATTACCACTGTTTCTATTTTGTATCACAAACCCCATTCTACTGCTAGTATGAGTACTATGGCCGGTGTAAGCGAAAAAAAAAATCAAGGCCTGGTCTGGTCAGGGTACGACCCCATCCGCTTACTAGCCACTGGGCCCTAGCAGCTAGTAGTATCCATTCACGCAGGGGTGTCTCTTTTGTGGGACTACTTAGCCTATTATAAAAATGGTAATGCGTTGGCAAGGCTCGTCAGCTTCGCGACCCCGGCCACTCGCATCTATGGAGCCAATGTGCGATGACGACATGTTCCATCTTCTTTGCTTCACCGCTTTCATCACACATCACGCGTGCACTCTGTGGCTTGCATAGCAGTCGAGCATTCAGTCGTCACTGTAGTACACATTGCGAGCAAAGTGCCAGTAGAATCCATGTACTGTAAGCGTGGGTATCGCCGCCATCCAAATTATCCAAACGCCACCGCTCAAACAAAAGATTACAACAAAAAGGGCTTCCTTGGGCTAGGACCACAATCATACCTCGCCCATCGCCGATTTACGGCTCACCAGCAGTGACAGCGACATGGTTGCGCACTTCGCCTGCGGGTCTGCCAGTGCTATCCAATACTTCAACCATGTCGTCGACCATTCCAAGGAATCTTTGCCTGTATTCATCGCTCGAAGTAGTGATGCTCATCGGACCATGATCCTTTCCGGGCTTCAGCGCGTTGAAGAGCTTGACCAGGCCTGTCAGCGTTTGGGCTTGAAGCGCATCTTTGGCCCAGAAGAAGTCAAGGATGACGGCCCTATAGACCCACTTGCCGTCGCGGGACACCAGACCACTACGCCATGAGGATCCACGTCCTGGAGGGGGCGGGATCTGGCTATTGTCGGCAGTGCTTAGATTGGCTGGATAACGGACAAGGAACAGCGAGTAGTCGACTGCGTTGTTTTCCTGCAGGATCTTCGAGTCTCGCGAGAGTTGCGCAATCAGCTCCTCCTTTTCATCAATCGTTACCCGCACCTTGTCGTTGAACTCGTCAATGAGGCGCTCCTTTACACTCTCCGGTGCCAGTCTGCCGTTTGCTATGTCGCGTTCGGGGTAGAAGTAGTCGTTTGGCTTGAGATCATACGTCTCCCATTGTTTCTGGTGGTGCTCGCTGCAGGTGGATTTTCCGTAAAGGATGTTTTCCATTATGATGTGATGACTTGGCGCCGTACCCAGTGCAGCGCCAACAGTCACTGTGGGGCAGTAGAGGAGATCGGTGATGCGGACCAGGAGGGAGTCTTGATTGAGCTCCATGTGCTCAACATAGGGATCGAGAAGACGGTTGCGGAAAAATGACTGTTCGAAATGCCGTGGCAGCGACTTGACTAGGAACTTGGAGTTTGGTGTTGTGAAGAACGTCTACTACGAATCAGTGAAAGGATTCATCAAGCATACAATAGCTGGTGTTCGCGTACCGATCCCGAATAGCCCAAGTCCCCAACTGCTACCAGGTCTGTCCGCTTACTGCTGCTAGGGCTGCGGAAACTCTCCGTGTATTCCTCCTCTTCTATTCCCCACGTTTCGTTTCTCAGCATCTTAAATAATGACGCGCGAAATCGCGCGAGGGTAAGGTTGAAGAGGGCGAAAAATGCGTAAATGCGCGCCCATAGGCCGAGGCGTCCATTTTCATCTTTCCTGGGAGAGTCGGACTTGAAGACTGCGCGGAGGATCGAAGTGCTGATGAGACGATCGCGGCGTCCCATTTTGAGCTGTGTGCGATATGGTCAAGTAGGTGATTGTGTAGAGCTGTCAGTGTTGTAGACATGTGAAGCGCGCTGTTACCAAGGACCGCTATGTCGTCGTGACGTCAACGCGCTAAAAGGCCGACGAGCTTGAGCAGCCAGTTTGTGCAACAGAGCTTCACCAATAGACATTGTACTAGTTTCTTGGTAGCTCAGAAAAACACTTGGACACTTCTCAGAAGAAATCATATCGACATCTGGCTGGACTCGGCGATGCGGCTGATGAGTTCGTCTTCTGCTGCAGCTAACATTTAGCTTCCAGGGCGGCCGCCACCACAGGGGTACCAGTGTTCTTTTGAGCCATGCTTTTTTCATGGAATTGACTACAAAATGTCTTGAAAATTGGAAGTCCATGAAATATCACTGGTGCCAATTCAATGAAGACGGGTTGGGCCCGAGAGTCAAGGTAATGATCATATATACTCTGGAAGCATTACCATGACACCAAGCATCCCTGCCAGACTCTGCACATGTTCTGGGGTGCAAAGACGTCTCAACAATATTCTTAGATGCCTCACTATCCCCGCAATATTAAGTATTCGCTATTGAAAACCTAGATAGCAGTGGGACGCAGTCGTCGGCTGCAGTTATCAGATTAATATACACCTGCAGCAACGATGTCTATTGGCTCTGTTGAGATCCTTCTCCGCGGCAAACTGCGGAGAGAACCTTCGTCCCGGTAGATTACCATCTTGGCAAGATCACGCAGTTGTGAACCTCAAACGAGGGGTCTATTCCTTACATCTTGCGAGTCTGGACCGTGGTGTGACAGTGGCTTGTAACCTCACCAGCCGTGTATACAGGACATAGCCATTGGTCTGGAAGCGTCTGAAAAGGCGCCCTGCCAAGTGCATGTGTGTATGATCATGGCGATAGACCCTTGAAGCCATAGAACCTTCCTCTTCAACTTATCCCGGCGGTGAGGTTGACGGCTTGAGCCCCCACATGGTTGTGCCTCTCGCATTCATTGCAATAGTAATCGAGGGGTCCCTCCTAGGCGTCCGGCCTGGCTATTGGTGGTCTTCATACTTTTGTTGGCAAACTATCGAGTGGATGCCGTGTGCTACCGCTGCAGGGTCATTGCGACTATGCTGACACGTTAACTTTATTGAGCATGTTACGACTAAACATATAAATTCTGCTTAAGCCTCGGTGTACAAAGTGAGAGCGAATATTCAGCAACATACACTCGGCTTACAGTGAACTTGACATACGGGCTTACCAGCAATCTTTGTATCTTTTCCCAAGTCTCGACCCCAATCTTGTATTTACAACATACCCAAGTCACAACATGGCAGCGGCAGATGTCCAACAACCACCTGTGGAAGAGGCAGCGCCCGCACTGCCAGACTATCTCACAAATCCCAATGCTGTCCTTGGAGACAAGGAGGCAAAGTGGCGATATGGACGAGCACCAGATTACACCAAAACACGAAAAGTATACGCCGAGAGTAAGTTTCCCAATTTGGAAGTGGTGCGGCGGTCATTTCCTTTTGTGCTCATCTAATTGCACACGGTAGCAAAGCAAAAGACACACGAAGCCGGGTCTCTGCCCGAGCTGGTCGAAAACCTAGTCAAGAACTGGGAAGTGGAGGCGTCGTTCAAACCAGACATTTCCGACTGGCGCACCATTGACACAGCAAACTACTCGTTTGCCATCAACGGAGGCGAGGCTGAGGGAGCAGAAGCCATGCTCAAAGTGGGCACGTACAACGCCATTATTGCGCCAAACGAGTACTACTCACCCGAATACTCGGACTTTGCGTCGTCGCACAAGACATTCAAGCGCATGATGCCGACGTTTGCGTGGGAGGTGCTTGAGGTGTATAGTGGACCGCCAACAGTCAGTTTCAGGTGGCGACACTGGGGTATCATGAAGAACGACTATGTAGGATTCAACAACAAGGGGGAGAAGGTGAAGGCCAAGGCGCACGGAGGGCCGATTGATATCCAGGGCGTGACTGTCGCGACGGTCAACGACAAGGTGCAGTTGCGCGAGGTGAGGACGTGGTTTGACCCCATGGACATGTTTAGGCAGATTGCGCCGCACGGTGTGGTTAGCAAGGAGAACAAACCAGCCCATGTATCACCGGCGGATGCGCTGGATGAGGCGCAGGCTGGTGTCAAGGTGCCAGAGGAACAGGAACTTCCTGATGCTACTGTACAGAGTAAAGAGGAGTTTGAGCGGACCATTGGCGAGATTGATAAGAAAAGGGCAGAGGGCCAGAGAGCACAAGATGTACCGGATGGCCATGTTGATGTTTCCAGTGCTCAAGGCGATGTCGGCGCGTGTCCATTCATGTCTGGGGCGACGCGTTAAGTGTGTGTTAGAGTAACGAGGCTGTTGATTACAAGACTGACTAGTTGAGGGTTAGTAGGCCCGTGGGATGGCCGTTTAGCGTATTATTTTGGTTTTGATTATGAACTCCACCATCTTGTGCATGCTAGCTGTCTTTCCCTGTACTGGGACAGACCGAGGATCCATATGTGAGTCAAGTGGCGAACAGTCTCGGTCTTCTGAGAAGCATCACGATGGGCTCTATGCCAAGAGAGGAAAACAGCAGATATGGTATTTGTTTGGTTCTTGCCAGATTGCAGTATTGGCGATTTTCACATTGCAGTGGTATCTGCGTAGGCATCCATCTCGCATTATCAGCAGTCAGCCGAGGAACGAGCATATCCACGTGTGCATGTCTGGTGGAGACGGGCGGGCCTGCATTTCTTTACTCATCAATGACTGTACGGTGTAGACTGTGTCGGTGGCCGGTTTGATTCGACTAGTCAAGGGGGAGATGGAAGTCCTTCCTAGTCTGGACAGAAGTCACGTTGGTGTTGGAATCATAAGTGGGGCTTGCAAGAAATACAGACGCAGCTGACCAATGTGGAAGCGGCGATATTCAGGCTGCATGGAAAACAGTGAAGCTGAAGCGTCAGTTGGAGGAGCAGGTGGGCGGTGGCCTTGGGCGAGGGGCCGTAGGTAGAGGAGGGTGTGGTGGCAAGAGGATGGATGGACCCTCGATGGGTTCGTCGGGCTGGTGGTGCAAAGGATGCCGTCTGCCGTAGTCTTGGGCAGGTGTGGTGACGAAAAGGTCATACATTGGCAGTGTGTAAAGTAGATGGAGGAGGTGTAGACGTCCAAGCCATCCAAGCCGGGCGTTGCCTGTTGCTTGCCCAACTGTGCTCTTGGCGCCATATGTAGGGCTCGGGTTGTAGGCAGCAGTGAGTCATAGCCTCGTTTGCTCACCCCATCAGCATCGTCATGATCACCGCCACAGTCGCGGTATTTGGCCGCCTTGGGCTCCATACGGGCTCATTGTCTTGATGGCCCGTGGCGATGGCGATGATGGTGGTATTGGTAGCCATGGTGGTGGTGTCGATGATGATAATGATGATGATGGTGGTGGTGTTGATAGTGCACATGCGGGAATGATTTTTTTTCGCAGCCGTGGATCGAGGCCATGGCTGGGGGAGGCCTTGCGGCGCGCTGCACCTGCACTACGCTGGGCTACGCTGGGCTGGGCTGCTCTACTGGCAGTGTTGCAGTTGCAACAAGCGGGGGTGGCTAGCGCACTTGGATCCGGCCTCGCTCCGCCCACACCGGAACAAGTCGCGTTCCGGGCGAGTGCGAGGAGGGCAGTGTCGGAGAGGCAGGCCGACGAGAATGGCACAGGAACGCTGGGCTGTGTGCGTCATTGGGGGGGGGGGCGGCATTTGGCCGGGGGAGGCAGCCAAATGAACATGGAACTGGAATTGCATCGTCGCATGATGAGATTACGAACGTCGCAGCAGCCATTGAGGCGTCGGCGGTACACAGAGGCCATGCACGGCACGTCCAAGGCACAGAGCAGCCTGTTTGCGGCCTAGCGCGCGTAAATCGGGCCAATGACGGCGCAGCCACACGACCACAGCCGGCCCCCTCATCTCAACCCAGCTGAGGGCAAGCGACGAGGGTGTCACGTCAGAAACCGCCGTCCCGCGCTACTCTGGCACGGAGCGTTGGAGAGCAGACGCGTCCATGGCGGCTGCGAAAAGGGGACGCCGTGTGTCGCAGCAGCTGGGCCCCGTCTTGGTCGTCGCCGTGTTGTAGCGCATTCCAGCGCACTTGGTTGCGTAGGGAAGCAGGGAGGCAGGGAGACAGGGAGCCAGGTGGGCGGCAAACGGCAAACGGCAGACTGGAACCAGCAGCAATAATAGCAGCAATAGCACCAGCACCAGCACAAGCACCAGCTGCGCCAGCCATGGCGGCACTGGGCAGGCCAGGCCATGCCATGCCATGCGACTGCGGCCAGTGGATGGATGCGTGATGATGGATGGGCGGAAGCGTCTCACGCCCCTTTGCGTTGGACTCCTGCACCCGCAGTGCATGCTCGCTACTCTGCATGCGGACAAGACAAGAAGCTGCTCCAGCAAAGGCAGCGACAACAGCAAGACGTTCTCTTGTCGACATGCACAACAACAGCGATCAACGGGCTGCATGGGCGTGTGCCCAAGTGGCGGCGGGCTGCACACGGCGCACGTGGGAACAACAATGAGGCAAAGCAAAGAAAAAAAACCCTGCGCCAGAGCGATGAGTCTTTGGCCCAGGTCGCGCTGTTGTGTGGCAAACAGGCAAGCTGGCCATAGCGCCCGACCTGGCAATGACTGGACCGGGGCGGCGCTGCGAGGGAGGGTACGGGGGTTCCTATTAGTATCGCCAGACTGCCGCCCAGCCCGTCCTCCCTCATCAAGACAGCAGAAATGGACTTCACGACTCCCTACAGCGCGCCCTGGGGCCTGAACTAGGTCTGTCTCATCCACAGTGTCGTCTGTTCTCTGTCGCCATCTCCCTCTGCCGCCTAAACCTGCCTCCCGCCTCCCGCCTTTGTCCAGGTAGCAGTCACCGCACGACCGCCCGTCCGTCGCCGCCACACTGCCGCCTACAGCCTACCACTCATAGACTCATCCTCACTCGCCCCTACTCACCCGCCACCCACTCGACAGTAAAAGGCCCAAGAGCCGCATTCTCTATCCTCCCTACCCCTCAACCTCATCTGTCCCGTACCTGCGTCGCGATACCGCTTCCCCGCCACCGTTGCTGTTCGCGCCTTCCCACCTTTACCGACTCTCCGACCGCCACTTCCTCACACGTCAGAACCTCAGCTCCTCCCACCACCACCACCACCTCCTCCTCCCACCAGTTTACATGTACACCACCATCCAATAGTAATACACCACACACTCACCACACAACCAACCAACCACACACAATCTCTTCGACAGTCTCCTTCCCCACCATCCCACTGCCAGCGCGCGCCAAGTCGCTCCAGTTTGGTGTTACCGCTGCACGGTAGCCACCATCCTCGAACACTTCACCCACCGCGTTCCAGTACCACAATGTGCTATTCAGCCTACACTGCTTCAGTCACTCGTCGCTCAGAATTCACCATTACTTTCGGAAACAAGGCCTTCATCGGAGGCTTCGCTTGCTAGACTCTTCCCCGCATCCCCTCAGGCTTTCAGCTCGTGCACCCCGCTGTGCAATAGCTGCAACATCCGAGTGCTTCGCGGACAGTCTCCTACAACGGTCTTGTTTCGGTGATTCTGCAGTTGACAGTGACTGGAGTCTTTTTTTCTCTGGTAAACGCATCTGGCAGCTTTTTTCGACCACTTGACACTGCTCGAATCTTCCTACCATTTACGACCTCGTCAACTACCCCTCGATCCTCTTACGTTCTACAGTCCTCGAGCTCTCCAGATCGCAATCACACCACTCGTACAGTCACTCCACCCGTGATCGCCGAGTGCTAAGCGTTCCGGATCAAGATCTCAAGAACATACGTCAGAAGACACAGGGTCGCCCTCTTACGGTTTGTCCCATCGGTTAAGTCCTCGGTCACCCCACGACCACCTCATCACGCTCTTCGCCACCTCTTCAGGTCTACCTAACGGTCAGCACTCGAAGACGTAGTGACAAAGCATAGTCATACCTCTCCACTCCTTCCTTTATTGTCCTTTCCCTTTTATCAGGTCCAATTCCTGTCCACACAGACACTTTCCTAAACATGAGTCTCGATATCCCCCGTTCAAACTACGGCTTCTTGCCCGAAACACACCCATATGCCGCCCCCCTTTCTTCTTCGGCATCCTCTTCCACCTCATCAGTATTCTCAGACGCTGCATCACAGACATCCAGCGCAAGCTCCAGATCAACCCATTCCAATTGGGACTCGGAAGAATGGAGTCGCAGCCAGGCCGCGCAGTCATCCGCTGTCGACGCCACCAGCCTTTCTTCGTTTCAACAACTTAGCAGAGTAAGCACTTTCCCTCAGTACCAACATGCAGCATGCCGCGACTCCATGCCAGAGAGGCTCCCTTCTCTGCGCGCAGAGTTCTTGGCCCCACCGGAGCAGCGACAGAATCCACGTCGATCGTCGGCGAACGTCAACCAAAGACCTCCGCCCCAGCTCGTCCGGCAATCCGATCGCAAGGTCAACTTCGTCGATTGCCTCGTCGGTTAGTACCCACTTTATCCATGGCCCAAAGACCACTCCGCTGATTTTTCCCTCCTTCAAGATTCCGCTACTCAAATGGTAGAGGTCATCTGGCAGCTGTCTGAGCCCAAGAGCCGCTGTGAGAATGCTTCTGGACGCGGAGTACTTCCTCTTCGCATGTTCATCCAGGAGACTCTCCGCCGATCACGCACCAGCTACTCTACGCTCCAGGTTGCTCTGTACTACTTGATTCTCATCAAGCCCCACTTGCCCAAGCATGACTTTACCATGTCACAGCCTGAAGACGCTTCTCTTCGCGCCCTCCAGTGCGGTCGTCGCATGTTCCTTGCTGCGCTCATCCTCGCATCAAAGTACCTGCAAGACCGCAACTACTCAGCTCGCGCGTGGAGCAAGATCTCTGGCCTCAAGGTTTGTGAGATCAACACCAACGAAATAGCTTTCCTCGAGGCTGTCAACTGGAAACTCCACATTGTTGATTCGATCTGGGAGAAGTGGCAAGAGGTCGTTTTGCGATATACTCCTACCCTTCCCCCTCCTTCACCCGGAGCTTCCATTCCCAACCACTGGAAGGATGTCATTCCCATGTTGACACCTGAGCTGGAAATCATTGAGGTGACCCCCAAGGCTTCCAACGCTCCTGTTCGCCCGCCATTGAGGACACAGCTGAACGCATCGCCCTACCGTCAGCCATCTCTTGACGGATGTGGATCGCAAGAAAGCACGCCAACTCCCTCTCTCTACCAGGTGCCTCGTTTCTTGGAGCCAAAGCCAGACCTTGTTCGCACACCATCTCTGCCGTCCATGGCTCGCTTGGGTCCTCTGCCTACGCCTTCACTGACACCGCAGCCAATTGCCAACAACACCCCTGTTGCGGGTGCCATGTCTTTTGGACTGCGACGTCCGTCAATGTGCACGGCAATGCAACAGGCACAGTGCTCGTCATTGGCGCGCTCTTGCGTGGATCAGTTCAACCCAAGCATCAAGAACGGTCTGGAAGCCTACCACTTCCCGAGTCGACGACCATCCTTGGCTGCATCGAACGGTTCCCTATCATCATCTCCAGAGTCCATGATCTCGGATAACTCACGCTCATCACGTGCCTCGTCAATCTCGTCAGTTTCATCCGCCGGTTGGGCGCCAAACCAAAGTCAAGCCAATTTGGCCCGACTGGCGACCTGCCGTAGCGCAAAACTACCGTACCCGACGTTGTCCAAGTGCAAGGAGCAATACGAGTACGCCCCGAGCGAGGCCCTGTCCTCTCCTGATCTGGATAGCTTCCATATTGATGATTCGGATTCTTCACCTGCCAAGATTGCGAGCCCTGCCGTTGTCGCTCCTGCTAGTCGTAAGCGCGGAAGGTCGTCTGTTGATCTCCAGCAAAACGTGCGACACCTCCTCCACACCACCCGCTCGGCATTTGATCTTCGCCACAAGACTGTCCTTCCTGACCGATCGGTTGTACAGCCATTCGCCTTTACCTCGCGCAGTGAACCAAAGGGGCTGCAGTCCCCTAAGAACGCCGCGCCAGGTTGCTCGCGTCTACCGGTCCAGAAGGACTTTGGCAAGAAAAGATCATGCTGCAGCACAGAGGCCGCGCAGGCATACCGCCCGCAAGGCCCTGGCATGTGGGCTGGTATCCTATGAATATGACGTATCGTCTACGAATACTGAAAAGCCAAAAAGAAGGCTTAACGAAGAAAGGGCAAGGCAACATCACCTTCCTATTGATTTACCTTTTACCTTTTACCTTTACATCCACACACAATCTCTCTACACGCCCGTGTATATTTTCTTTAACCACGTCCAAATCACTCGGCAGTGTACGTTTTCCTAGTGTTGGAACGGCACAAAAGGGTGTACAACACATGTTTGATTTTGCAGTTATTTAGCTCTCTAGTATACCTAATTGGTTTACTTGTTGGCGTTTTCTTTTTTTCTACATCTCTTTTGTTACATGTTACCAATCTTGGCGTTAACAATTATCACTGGGAAAGCTTGCTCGGTTGAGCAACAGGTGGGAAATATCCTCGATTTGCAGCAAAGGGTGCATTTAGCATGGTCAAACGGATTGCAGGCAGGAAAGGAGTTTCAAAGTTGGCTCGCTCGCCACAATACCCTTGGTGCAGTGTACGTTTACGCTACGGCGGTTGATGACGTGCAGCGCTACATCTAGTGAGTAGATAGTGGTAGTTGAATCAGATGCTGATGATGCATATTTTGTGTTGCTGTTGCTGCTGTCTCCGTGTGATATTTTTTTTCTTCCCAACTGTCACCATGGGTCTCTCTCACACCCTCCTCGTATCATTAACATGTCTCTCCCCTTGACCTTCCCTCCCCATCTCCCTAGCAATCGTAACACTCTCCCTCAGCGCCTTCCCCACCGCCCCCCTCACCCCCATCTCCTCCAACACCATAATCCCCCCAATCGTACACCCCTCCGGACTCGTCCCCATATCCCTCACCTCGCCCGTCTTCCACCCCTGCAAAAACATCTCGGCACTGCCCCTCATACTCCTGTACACTTGCTCCTGCGCCATCTCTCGCGGCAAACCCACCGCCACCGCCGCATCTACCATTGCATCCACGATTACAGCCCAGAACGCGGGCGTGGAACCGCTTACGGCTGTTGTGGCGGCCATGTGGTGCTCGGCGATGAGTGCTGTGGTGCCGAGGGTTGAGAAGAGGGATGTGGCTGTTTCGAGGTGGTGGTGTGGGAAGGGCCGGGAGGACGCGGGGGGGAGTTGGATTGCAGTGTGTGAGTGCGAGATTTGGGCGTGGATTGTGGGGAGGGCGCGGAGGATGTGGAGGGTTGGGTTGTTTTGGGGTGGGGTGGATAAGAGGGTACTAGATAGGGAGGTTGTGGAGAGGCCGGCTATTACGCTTATTACCAACTTTCCAGCTTGGTTGCTGGAGTTTGGGGGTTGCGAGTGGAAGGCAGAGGCTATGGAGGGGATGCTGAGGAGCGAGGTTACTTGCGAGGGGTCGACGGCGAGGAGGATTACGCTTGAGTGTTGGATTGCGTGGGTGATGGAGAGGGTGGAGCGGGCTAGGGATAGTTTTTCCGAAGCAATGTGCTGGGCGAAGAGAGTGCTGAGGCGGGATTCGGATGCAACAGAGGATATGCAGGCTGTGTAGTGGGTGAATTGGGTGGCATCGGGTGAGTTGAGGAGGCCTGAGAGAATGGGGGTGCCGAGGTTGCCTGGTGGTGGTTAGTATGTTGAGTTTTGTGTTTTATATAGAGGCAGGAATGTGTACCGCAGCCTAGGATGCAGAGTCTTTGTTGGCTCATGATGTTGCTTGTTATCGTGAGTCTGAGGGGTGGAAAAGGTGTCTGATCCTGTTCTTTGTGCTAACCCAAAGCACCTCGATCTTATTAAAAAAAATTACAGCCTCGCGCTTTCTGTTTCCTGGAAACTTGACTTTGCTATTGTCGAGCTTCAATTGCTTGTCTTGTTGATGTTTGAAGTCGATGTTGCAGCTAGCGCCCGCTCCACAAGGGAATACATTTTCCTAATTCGATGAAATGATGAGGGGTGAGCTACTAGCCACTACGCACAGAGTTTTAGCTTGGCGCTGTGGAATTTAACAATCATGTCTACACTCTGTCTCTACATTAACACCACAAAAGCCTTCTCCTATCCTCCTTCCTCAGAGCCACAAACTTATATTTAGCTTGGATGAGGTGGCCAGGTTACTGATCTCGCACGTCATTGATCATAGCTTGGTCAAGCTTTGGATAAGCGTAGTACGTACTAGGTTCTGGATCTAGTCAGCTTCCGGACCTTGCAAGGCTCGGATCACGGATACCTCACTTCCATAACGCAGAGTCTCAAACCAGTCCAATAGTAATGTGCATCATGACTGTTGTACACATAGAGTCGGTGAAAAAAAAGCTCCGTGCACCGACGCGGGAGAATGCCAGACTCATTCTGTCCGCTATTCTATCCTCATGGAGTTCTTCGGGATACGTATGTCTCAACAAGAGGTTCGTTCGACTATATCCCTGTCATTTGGTATTTTCTGAATCCGGCTTGATCAACGGGCCGGATGCTTCAAGTCCGAAACAATTACATATATATTGCCGTCGTACGTTACTTTTGGTGTAAACAGTCTCCTCAGATATATAAACAAGATAGTGGAAATATTTAACGTTAACCGTTTCTACATCATACACTCAATTTCTTATCCCCACGCTACCGCTTCAATGTTCAGTGTTGTAGGAAAGAGAATCATACTTACTGGAGGTTCGCGCGGAATCGGCGCAGCAGTCAGTCGCGCTCTCGTCGAGAAGGGTGCCAAAGTATGCATCCTTGATGTTCTTCAAGACCAAGGCAAGCAGCATGTCGAGGATTTGAACAAGAAGGGACCCGGACAAGCGTTTTAACATCAATCTCAAAGGCACATTCTTTGTAGCTCAAGCCGCATTTCCGTACCTAAAAGCCAATGGGGGCGGTTCGATCATCAACTTTTCCTCCGATAGTGCAAACCAACCAATAAGTACGTTGGGGATATATGGATCAACCAAAGGTGCCGTGACAAATTTGACGCGCGCAATGGCCATGGAATGGGGTCAGCATAATATTCGCACAAACTCTGTCATACCAGCTGCCAAGACGGAAATGGATATGGAGATTAGGAACACCATGGATGCTGAAACTCTGCAACAAACGAAAGCGATGCTTAAGATTGCAATTCCACTAGGAGGAGACCTCGGCGAGGTGGAGAATTTCCCACCTATAATGATCTACCTAACCTCCGACTCAGCCAAGTTTGTCACAGGACAAATTCTTGCTGTAAATGGTGGATTCACGATGGTGCGTGGCTAAGTGTGTATAGTGCAAGATTAAGAATCAGGTGTAATTCCAGAATCTCCAACGTAAACCCATGCCCTTTTACAGTCTATACACTACGCTAGTGTAAGTAGATGTAGAATAATCAAGTTTACACCCACAGAAATCTCCTCCTCGCCTCCTTCCTCAGCGCCGCAAACTCATCCTTGGTCCTAAGCACTGCATCGCGATTCTCCACCGCCCGCCGAAGCAAATACCCTACACACTCGCCCATGCTACCCCAAGTAGTGCATTTGAAGACCTCCGGCGATATCCCACCTTTATCTTTTTCTGCAAGCAGCGAGAAACTGACTTCGTCTGACATGCCGTGTAGCTGGCCGTACGCAACCGGTACAGTAGGCAGCCCGGCTTCCACCCGCTGGCGATGCAGTGCGCTAGCCGCCATTACGGATTCACGGTTGTGTGATGCGAGCAGTAGATTGACCGACGGAAAGGGACGATGTTTCCCTCCAAAGGGACCGAGTCGCTGGCGGAGAGCACCCTGCGCTATAGTATTGTACGCGTTGTCTGTATCTTCCTTTGTATCGTGGATCAAAGCCCGGTTATCAGAGAGAATGTATGCGCCACGCACGAGCTTCAGGCCTAGGGTAAACTCGTCTTTCTCGGCTTCCGCCATGTGTTGCTGGACTACGGCGGGTGTTTCTTTGAGGTAGGCCTGGTAGGTGTTGTATATGACTGCTTTGCCTCCGCGATTGAATTTCCGCATTAGCTCCAAGGTAGTGCGGGCGATGCCGTGCTGCCAGTGCTGGGACTCGGCGTCGATTATGATTTGGATGCCGCGTTGCTTGCATTTTGTGGCTAGTTCGTCGAGGGCTGAGAGCATTTGCTGGGGTGGGAGGCTGCCTTGGCTGAATGCTGCGGAGACGGCTGGGCCGCCGCCTGTTGTCCTAGTGTTCAAATGTCAGTCTTGATTTTCTCTTACATATCTCTTCAAAAAGAGGTTTACTGACTTCAATGCCAGAATATCGCCTTTGGAAATCAAATCCAACGTCCGCAGCGTCCCTTGTCTCCACGCTTCAATATCCGCATCATGCAACGCAGCCTTTCCATTAATGCCCTTTTCCAAACCATGATCCTTGGCAGAGCCTGCTTTGTGATCAAATACCATTTCCTTTGCATACGTCAAGATGACTCCTTTGAACCCGAGATCCTTGAGTTGCTTGACGCAAGCTTGTGTCTCCTGCTCTGTTTCTCCCGCACAAAACTGGTTATACAATGTCCTTTTCAAAACTGCCTTTAGAACTGGATTTCGATCTAAATTGAACAGGAAACTCCGACTTGGTTTCGACAAAAAGGACAAAAGATGTAGTGCCGGTATCAGCAGAAATCTGTTCGATGATATAGTCGCAACGAATAGAGAGCGGAGTAACATGTGCGTCGGCATTACCGACAGAGGGTACTGCGCTTGTTGCTGAGCTGGTGCATGTCCCGCCGTCTCTCTCGTCCGTGGAAGCGTAGTCGTAGAGCTGAGCCGGATTCCGAATCTGCCAAAGTTATGGGCGAGGCTTCGCCTGCCGTATATGCATTGTAATCCCTTTCCGCTGAGTCGCGGTCGAAACATGGTTACTCCTATACGAGCAATCGACTACTATACGTAAAATCTATTTGACCACACGGAGAAAATAGTGTTGTGGGAATAGAACAGCAATGGATCAAGCATGTCTTGAAGATATGTGCCTCATTCTCCAACCAAGGTACCCTTATCTCCAACCCACCATCTATCACGCTCATCACGACCCCGCTCCCACATCCGGGACGTGGGGTGTGTACTAGAGCGTGGCAGGTAGAAGCACCCTACTAGCGCGGAACTCCGGCCGATTGGTATGAAGACTCCCATGTTCGGGCGAGCCTGGTACTAACACGTGTATATGCGCTTATACGAATGCTACAGAATGAGGCGATAAGGTAATGTAAGCCCGAAGGATTTGCGTCTTGATGCTTGAATGGTACTGCCGAAAGCGGGGTTGGATGAGCAGCGGCTTGGGTCGGGTTATCATGGTGGACCCCGCTATGCTGACCAAGTGTAGAGTTTAGATCTTGGGGTTTGACGTCTCCAAACCATAATATTGTGTTACGTACAAGATGCAGGTTTCTGAAGGTGAAAATAGTGTCTTGTTCGTTCTTGGTTGTTTGCGTACGTATGTCCGAATCCAATGCCATGATTGACTACTTCTTCTTTGTCATACGGATTCTCAAGCATGACATGACGTGATAGTTGATGCCAGAGTAGTGCATAATTCTGATTCACGTACGGCGCACGAGTTTTACTTATTCTTCGAAATCTTCGTAAGTCTGGTGCTCACGATAGGAAAATCTTGAAAGTTAGAGAACGTTTGGAGCAGTGTGCCTTTGTGTTCAAGGAAATGGTGTATCAGCTCGAAGATTGAATAATATCCTTTTCGGAGCCAATTCCGGCATATGTTTACAATTGTAAGGTTTTAGTATTAATATTTGTTTGTTTGTGAACTGTGAACAAATAGTGGGCCTAGTAGAGCCTCCTCTATACAGATTTTTGAAGATTTAGCTGCATACAAAGATCAGTCCAAGTAGTTATTCAGGCAAGAAGAGATGTGATATAATTAGCGTAAAGATAATTTCCTCTTAATTTTCGTAGCTATAGCGGAAACTTTGGGAATCTTCTTCTTCAGTCGGAACAATACCAAGTGACAAATACTACAATCGCTGCTAGATCAGGCCAGCCAGCGGTGGATAGGCAGAGTAGTGAGCAGTTTCAGCAGTGTGTAGGCAAGGTAATATAGAACCAAAGCTACAATCCTCTTCAGTACGGCTCGCAGGCTACAACTAGTGATATCTTTCCTGAATTTAACCTTGCACCTTCTCTTTCCTCACACATTCCAAAGGATATACGGATCAACCCATTAAATAAGCGGAACAACACTACCACAACTAGGAACGAAGCTTCGAGAGTATGGATTTGACTACGAAAACGATGCCATGCTATCCTGGTTCTCGATGGCAGACATGAACAGCATTGTTCGGGCACTGTGGGGCCATACCTCCATTCTTGAGGCTAAAGGGAATATCAGAATTCCCATAGCGAGGTCACTATAGGAAAGATATTAATCTATAAACCCTAGCCCCATTATTTATTCGATGGTTAACTTGCAGTCGTACCTCGATTCCCCAGGCTAGCTCACGACAGCGGAAAATTCCCGGTCCACTATCAGCCGACCGTCCCTCCGTGTACCAATCCGCCTAGTGTAATACTGAAATAACGTCGATTCTGGGCACAACGCATGGTGTACATAACTAAGAGAGTGTGGTGTAAGTGCAGGTATATTAGTAAAGAAATAACGACGCTAACGTATATTGCTTGAAACTGCTGGAAAAGTAAAGTGCGAAGAAGGAGAATGAAGACCCTACGACAGTTGCCTAGCACACTCAAGCCAACCGCTGGCGGGAACCGAGCGTAGATAATACGACACACGGAATCCGCTCAAGCTATAATATACTAGAGAGTACAGGGAATTATACAACCCCTTTCCCGTCAGCAACCAACCAAAAAAGACCCATCTGAGAACACGTCTAGAAACGAACAAGATGCACCCATAACAAGCAACGGCACCAGAGAAATAGAGCTACACTTCGAAAGCACAGCCTTCGCGTTTTTTTAAGCGAAATTTCAAAGACAGCGTTTCCCACCAATCAATGTCTCCTCGATTTTCTATTACGTTGGATACGTAACATGTTACCACTGCAGTGGAGGGAGTTGGAACTACCGTGTTCCAATATCCCGAATCAAGCCAAAAAAAACAAAACAAAGGTGCACAAAATGAGTTTTCTTTTCGCCTCGATTTCTCTTGTTCATGCAGGATTTTGTGGAACTAGGGTTATACGGCATCAAGCAATATTCTTCTAGAACAAAAATTCTCGCGGTTATACAACGTTCTTATTTCCCCTCCCCCTCCCCTCACCCTCCTCCTTCTTACCTTTACAAAGATAGTGCATCACCTATTCTAAAACAGTAACAGCCTAGGTAGAAAACCTTTCTTTTGTGATCAAGTAAATACCTATGGAAACCCAGTAAAAAAAATTAAGTTATAAAGCAGGAGATGCAAAGCTACTACACATGATTGTAGCTTTCTAGAGGAGGGGGAAGTAAGTGGGGCGTTGCTCAGATACTTAAACAACAAATCTAATCACATATTTTGGTTAGTAGCTGATGTAGTACTAGTAGTGTCTTGGAAGAAGAAAAAAAAAGAAAAAGAAAACTTACCCTGGCAAAACAGAAGTACTATTCTTCAAATCCCCGAAAAGTTTCTGCCCTTTACCCTTCAACTCGCCAGCTTTTTCCTGGCTCTTGTCCACGACGTTATTGCCCACCTTCTGGCCCTGGTCAATCGCCTGGTTCACTATTGATTTTGGAATCGGCGTCTCGTGGAGCTCGAGGTGCGTGGTGAAATGCAGACTGCCGGTTACATTTATATACACAGGTTCGATGCGCTTGTAAAGCTTGCCGTCTTTGGTGGAGCCCGCGACATTCTGCTCGTACCAGCGGGTGGCGGTGGTCTTGTACAGTTTGTTTTCGAGTCTACCGACGCGTACCTCGAGTTTGGCAGTGTAGGTGCGATGGGGGGAGATGTTGAAGCCTTGTTCGATGATGATGGCGTCGGTGGTGGTGGTTTTGTTGGCGGTGGTTCCGGAGTGAGACCAGGAGTGTTCGACGGCAAGGGACCATTCGACTTCCATGGTTGAGACGCCTTCGACGCCGGCTTTCGTTGTGGTTTTGAGCGAGGCAGCGACGGATGAGGCGGTCGTGTCGGTGGATTCGACGGTGACTTCGCGGGTTTTGGTTTTTCCGATGGTGACTTTGCCTTGTTGTACTTGATCACTGTCGTTTGTCCCGCTCTCTACGCCCTGTTCTATGGAAGTGTTGGATTGATCCGGGGTGATTTTGATAGGCTCAACCTTTTCCTTGACAGGGTTGATGGAGTGCCATTTGAACGAACTGACCTTGTCTCCAAAGTCGAGGTTGTGGAAATCCTTCTCTTCCTTGTGCTTGCCCCATCCCTTGATATTTTCATACCGATTTCCCCCACCATCTATATGTTCGAAAAGAGTAACGGTTTGTCGGTCAATGAGGGAGTTCCAGCGCGCAGAACTGACTTTGTCGGTCATGTTCCAGTTCCACAACGGGTGGACAGTGCCTGGCGCCCACTCGCCCAGGAATATGATCTGACGGGCCCCCATTTCGTTTTCTTTGGTGTCCTGCATCTTGTAGTCCCAAAGCTCAAACGCCCCCATCTTCAAATCTACCTTCCGCCAGAAGAACGCTTTGATGCAATCCGCCATACCCATCTTTCCAAGGTCCACTGCTTCCGTCTTCCCGGTACCGACCAAGTCAATGCATCTTCCGCAGTTATTAAGATCAAACACTGCCTGGCCTTTCTCGAGAGGGGTGTTGTGTTCCGTCATAGTCATGACCGTACCCAATGGCAGATTCCACAAAATCCAATTGGCCTGGTTATGAACATTGTTGTACATCTTGTGGCGAACGTCGCCCAAAAAGTCGTCAATGTCAATGTCATGATAGTTGGTGCTGAATTCGCTGTCGTTGAAAATTCTGACGGTATTGCTTTCAATGTCGTCAGCGGGTTTGTCGGGCCTGGGTAACTTGGTGAGAAGATTTGTGATCTCTCCAAAGACTTTGGTTTCAAGTTGCTCCATGGAGAGGGGTTGGTCAGACATTTTGTAAAGACGAGATTGTTGTTGTCGTTGAGTAACGTGATAGAAAGATTGGTTTCAGGAAAGACCAGTAAATGTGTGATTGTGATGCGAAGAAAATCGAGTCGTGAGGGATTGACTTTATAGTAAAAGCGACAGATTCAACCAGGCTAGCCTCAATGTTGCTGTCGATTTTACATACCTCATGCCCACCTGTTCTCGTGCCCCCCTCGATTGTTGAGTAATGAAACTGCACGACGCATGCCTTGCGTGCATCTTGCATTCTGCAATACTAAGACAATCATGGAAGTGACTCATAGCTCAAGCCACTTCCCTATTACCGGCTGAATACTCCATTACCTTTTACTTTTCTTCTTGGCTCACCAATCTTGATCCTTCTTTCTTCTCGCAGCAGACTTGCGTGCATCATGCAATTCATTGATTGGTGGCCTCTGATCGACAGACGTAACATGCTTAATACACTTTTTAACCCTTAGTATTCTTCTCAGATTGTGCAATTCTTCGTATTCCAGCCTATTGATAGTATCGAGAAGCGTGCAATTCTAGTGAAATGCTCGTGGAAGTGAATTGAAAGGATGCCACCTTACCATACGTTAGTAGCAACACTGTAAGAATTATACCGGCAATGGAATATCGATAAATCAAGACGATAATTCTGATGGCTCATATTAGTAACTAGTAATCGATCATGGCGCTGAGCTCATCGGTAGCTCATCAGGTGACGAGCAACGTGATGTAGATCTTCTCGATTTCAGACACCTTTCCACTTCATGTCAAGCTTGCACATACGTATCATTCGGTTGACCAATCAAGGCTCTGATAGAGAGAAGGTATGTATCTCTATCCTCCTATCATTTCCCAGCTTACCAATATTGGATTTTCCTTCCTCTCCACATCAAACTTGAATATGCATGCTTTTAACATGCAAGTGATCGATCAATAGCCTGATAGGGAAAATGCGTACTGCTCTCCTCTGCTCCTTGCTTTTTTTTTCTGGAGAGCTGAAAAGTGCAGCATGTATTTATTTTTCGTCCCTTTTGGGAAACGCCTTGTATAATCCTCGCTTAGCAGTAACCTGCAAGATGAATCAATTTTGTCTTGCGGACGCGTACACAGACTGGGGATTGTGTTGGGTCAGATGATATGCCAACTGTTACTCTATACCTAACATAGCTGTCTCCATATCAGTGAAAAGAAAAGGTGAATGCACCCATACCTAATAGTATCGCCTTGTAGGTGGCACACTGGCTACTTCATTCTCGTCCAAGGTTTTCATCACTACCTCCCTTGTTCCAAACTCGACCTCGTCGCCCACGCCACGCTGCCACGTAAGACTATGCTTCATCCACTGTGCATCGTCTCTCTCTTTATAATCCTCTCGTGCATGCGCACCTCGGCTCTCCGTCCGCTTCAGCGCTGCTGTGCTCGTCTGCGTGGCGTTTGTGAGTAGGTTGCGCAACTCTAGCGTCTCGATGAGGTCGGCGTTCCAAATCAGGGATTTGTCTGCCACACGAAGATCTGTAGCGAATTGGCTCTCTAGTGAATGAAGTTTAGCATGACCCTCGGCAAGAGTGTCGTGGGTACGGAAGACGGCTGTGGTGGATTGCATGGTTGATTGCATCTTGCTTCTTAGAGCGGAGGTGGGGGTCGACCCGTTGGAATGGGTGAGGAAGGAAGCTAGTTCATGGATGGCATCGAGGCCGGTGGTATTCGGGGTTGGTTCGTGCGGTGCTGCGGGGGAGTGGTGTGACGAGATGTGGAGTGCAGCTGCTCGGCCCTGTATGGATATGTCAGTAAAAAGTACGGTGAATGTGGGAATTCCGCCTCCAGGGTGTACGCACAAAAACAACAATGTCGAGGAGAGAGTTGGCACCCAATCGGTTTGCGCCGTGGACGCTGACGCAAGCCGCTTCACCTGCTGCATACAGGCCATTCACAACACGCTCCTTCCCACTCTGGCGGTCTACATCCAAAACTTGGCCATGGTAGTTTGTTGGTATCCCGCCCATACAATAGTGAACTGTTGGCAGCACCGGGATGCATTGTCTAGTTACGTCTATGCCAGCAAAGATTGCCGCTGTTTCCGCTACGCCTGGCAAGCGCTCTTCAATAATGTATTTTGGAAGGTGCATGAGCTGCAGGTCAATGTAATCTTTTTTGGGTCCACACCCACGGCCTTTGAGGATTTCCAGATTCATACTTCGGCTGACTACGTCGCGGGATGCGAGATTTCTTGAGACGGGAGCATAGTTGTACATGAACGCCTCGCCTTCAGAGTTGAGGAGATAGCCGCCCTCACCACGGGCGCCTTCTGTGATCAGTACCTAGAAACGATTTCAGTATTTTGAAGTAGTAACGCGAAATTGACCATACATACGCCTGCGCCATAGATACCAGTTGGGTGGAATTGGACAAATTCCATGTCCTGGAGTGGTAGGCCAGCTCTGGCAGCCATGGCACTACCATCTCCGGTACTTGTGTGAGCGCTCGTGGCGCTAAAATATGCTCGCCCATAGCCTCAAATCGCTGTCAGTACGCACGAACGAAGAAAAGGGATGGGCGAACTGGGTGAAAGTATACCTCCAGTAGCCAACACAGTATTCTTAGCAAACATCCTATGACACGTTCCATCCTCCATACTCATCGCCGTAACGCCCACACACTTCCCCTCGACCATCATCAAATCGAGGACAAACCACTCAATAAAAAACTGCACACCATGTTTCAAACTCTGGCCATAAAGCGTATGAAGCATAGCATGCCCTGTGCGGTCCGCCACACACGCGGTCCGATACGCCTGGCCACCTTTTCCATACTCGAGGGTCTGACCACCCAGGGGTCGTTGATAAATCGTACCTTGCTCGGTGCGGCTAAAGGGCATACCGTAGTTTTCCAGTTCGACGACTGCAGGCACGGCTTCGCGCGTCATGTAGTGGATTGCGTCTTGGTCGCCGAGCCAGTCAGAACCTTTGACAGTATCGTACATGTGCCAGCGCCAGTCGTCCCTGTGCATGTTTGCGAGGGCGGCGTTGATGCCGCCTTGGGCGGCGACGGTGTGGGAGCGGGTGGGGAAGAGCTTGGATACACATGCGGTTTTGAGGCCAGCTTCGGTGAGGCCTAGGGCTGCGCGGAGACCTGCTCCTCCTGCTCCGACGACGATTGCACTTTGGGGTTGTCAGTAGTGGTCTGGGCAACACTGAGAGTGAAGGAGGCGTTGTTACTCGTAGTGATGGTCAATAACTGTTATGTCCTTGATACTTGAGCTAGTGGTTGAAGCGAGACATCTTCGCTGCGCCGAGTAAAGATGTTTTGGCAGGAGAAGATTGGCATGGGAGTGCCATGGAGTTCGCACAAACGCCCGCATCATGAGGGGATTTTTGGAAGCATGGTGGGTTGCATGAATTCCGGGAGTTGTATATCATGTCGGTCTACCCCTCTGGGCCAGCTGATCCTCGGCTGTATAAGATTCGGGTGGCTGGACTAACTGTGAAGCGGTTCATTGGGAATCATTCTTGCCCAAATCTGAGAGCAAGAAAGTAAAGAAATCCGGTAATATACAATAGCTCCAGATAGTTTATTTTGTCTTTCTATCCAAAAATTGCACTGTACGCGACGAAACTTCAGATGGCGATGTGTGGGGTGTTAGAAAAGGTGGGATGAAAGCAGGTGTTGCATGACTCGCGCGATTACCACTGGGTATAGCCGGCAGCCAATCGGGAATAGGGTAATTGAAATATCGTAGGAACGCTGGGCGATTCTTAGTCGGCTATTTACGATAATTTGTATGCTAGCAAATTTATAGCTTTCTCTCCGAACGCACATTGAAATTTGCTGAATCCTGTCCAACTGCAAAGTGCATGCTGATTTTATTGGTGGATCCGATACAGAGCTGGGTTGTGTAACATCCACTCTGGTGTTGACAACATTGACACTGGTGCAAAAGTTGAATAGTGCACTACAGTAAGAGTAGGGAATAGATTCACAACATGGGTATTAGAAAAAAATAAAATAAGAATGCGCCCTTTTCCATACAGTGCGTAGTCGCAACCTATGGCACCCTGCGCTTCAAACTGCCAAACGCCCATAACCATGCGCCGTTTGCAGCAGCTGTTCATTAAAGCATTGAATCGTGTACAATCGTGATGGAGTCGCGTAGTTTTGCGCCCATAGCCCTGGAACTTCTGCCTGATAACGCCTGTGAAACCGACTTTTGCTGACGCCCATCACCGTTGCATGTACATGCCGGTGGTGGCCATGACATGCCCGTAGCGTTCATTGGCATGCCAGAGGTACTTGAGAAAAACAATTGCCTTTAGGTAGGCCTTCATGATGCGCCTTCTTCGGGCTCGATCGGCCTCGAGAATCCTGCGGAGGGCCTTTGAGACGGCCAGCGAGGAAGCAACTCTTCGAGAAGGGGCCTGGATAATTGCAGGCCATGAAGTGGCGCGGGTGAGAGCGGGTGGGCTTGCGATTGAGGCCTCTGGCAAGAAAGCGTCAGGGGTGTCTGAGACGTCATTGAGCGAGGCTGGGCGGTGCCGAGCGTCCAGAGGGTCGTACTCGAAGACTTCTGGAATGCTGCCCAATGTGGGAGCAAAAGTCGAGGAGCGCGGCGAGTCTGCATGGGGGGACATTTGGGTGGGTTTGGTTTGGAGGGCGGATTGCTTCCCTCTCCGTTGTGGTGGTGGTGGGCGCGAGGCTTTCTTTTTAGGGGTGCGCGGCAAGAGAGGGATGGAGGCAGGTGTGGTGGACCAAAAAGGGAGAGCGAGTCGCTTAGAGATTGTTTGTTTTCCTGGGCCGCGAGGCAGCAGAGAGTCGCATGGCGGGGCGGAGAAGAGAAGCATGACGAGCAGGTGTCACCAGCGGGCAGTTTGTGAATGCCGAGCTGAAGTCAAGTCGGGTCAGACTAGGGGGGAGTGAATTAGTCGAAAACAAAGCAAAGCAAAACAGCAAAGGGGCCCGGCTAGCATTTGAAGGCTGGCATCACACACACACACATGCACACACGCAATAGCACTAGGTGGGGATAAATCAGGCCTGCCGGGGTTTGCAGACTGCAAAACGAGCACTGGCCACGGGCATCCATGAATAGGGACAGGCTGGATGACGGCCATTTGCACGGGTGCGGGTGCAGGAGGGAGCAGCAGCGCGTGTGTGCGTGCATGTGGGAGCAGAGTGCCGTCCGCCAGTCCGCCAGTCCGCCAGTCCGCCAGTCCGTCAGATTGCGTGCAGCCAACCGGACGAAGGAGCAGCGAGCCGGCAGTTTGACGGGAAGCAAACGGTCGAATCTGGGACTGGGGAATGCTGGAGAGGTTCGGGAGATGTACGCAAAAAGCCCCACTGGATGGAGGGCACGATGAGCAACATGGCATGACGTCGCAGAGCAAAAGTTTGGGATCGAGAGATCGCGAAGACACAGGCACCGCCAACCTCGCACTAGCCGCCCGCCAGCCAATCACACGCCGTCCCCTCGTATACGCCCCGCTGTTCCCGCACACCACCATTCACCAGCTCTCACCACCTGGCCGAGGGTGATACGCCGCCGTCGTCCACGCCGTCCTGCCTTTAGAGTAGTCGGCCTCCTGCTGCAGCCCCCTTGCTGCGTCATCGGGCAGTAACCGTCGAGCACGTCTGCGTGGCCTCTCGTGCTATGTCGTGGCCAGCCCAGCCTGCCCCGTCCGCGGACCTGAGGTGCCTGGACGGGCTGCATATACGCATACACGACCCATTCTAGACTACCAACATCATCTTTACACCCACCAACCAGCCTGGCACGATGCTCGCTGCCGAATGGGAGCATGAGGGCGCTGCCCTGGTCTTGTGTAACCATGGGCCTCAACCGCCGTTTGCCTGTGCCGTAACATGTGCCTGTCCCTCTCTTCCCCCCCCCTCTCTCTCTCTCCCTCCTTCTCCCCTCCCCTCCCTCCCACCATCTCTGACATACGCTTAAAATATCCCAACCACCCGTTTCTCTCGTGATATCCGCACTAGCAGCCCGAACCAACCCACCCGCTCCAGCATGACATACACCATGAAGCAAATCGTCACATGCCTAAGCGTCCTGGTAAGCCGGCCCAGACTGCCACTAGGACCCCACCCACGTGTTATTCGCACCCTGTTAACCATATGCCCCGCAGTATCTCGTTATTGCGACTGCGCTTGCTGGGTATGTATGGGTTTGCTCTTTCAATCCCTCGCCCACCCAGCCATCCTAGCCCACTTGGCGCTAACACTCTCAGTTACGCTGCCTCCCGTGCGAACGCCCGTTCCGTTCCTATCGCAGAGACGCTGACCGGCTTCACCGCGGCGCTTCCCATTGTCTCTGGCCTGCTGCTTGAACTGGGCTATGGCCTGACCCGTCGCCGCGAGCGCCGCCAGCGACTGGGCCGTGGCGACATCCAGCGGCCCCCGCTCGTCATCATCGCCAACACGCTCATCTTCATCTACTCAACCGTCATCATCACCCTGTCAGGTACCCATGTCGCTCCTGCCTCCAGCCTAAACTGCGGTCTGCGAGAGCGCTGGCAGACGCTGTTCAGGCACAAGGATGCAGCTGCCATTCGACAGATCCAGGATGCCTTTAGTTGCTGTGGCCTGGCAAACTCACGTGACATGGCTTGGCCCTTTCCAGACCGCACCCATGATTCGCGTGCATGCGAAGCCACGTACCATGGTAGAGCCAGCGGATGCCTGGTTGCGTGGAAAGCTGAGGAGCAAAAGATTGCAGGCTTACTCATGACTGTTGTGGGCATGGTCTTTCTCTGGCAGGTTCGTGGCTCCAAAGGAGAATTTTTCACCCGAGGGGCTGCATGTGCTGACACTGCCCTGCAGTTTGCTATTATCGCCATACCTACCCAAAAGGATTCTTGGCTTCATAAAGTTGTCCCAGACCGCCTTTCTCGCGTCCTTGCTGGCGACCAAGGCGGTGATGCTGACTCCCGTCGTGCCATTGACTATGTTCCTGGCTACAACCGCTACTCGGATCGCATCGAGGAAGAGGCTGAAGACGACAATGGGCAGACTCCTGGACGTGCAATTGAAGATGGTATTCATCACACTGACCATGTTTTTCCCGCGCAGATTGGACGCGACAGGCAGCCATCTGTGGAGAATGAGTGGTCGAGGGGAGCATGAGACATCCTAACGTGGGACATGTCAAAAAGCATGTTTCACCCGGCATCTCATTTTTCGACATTCATGCCAGGACATGAATATGTTCGATATCTTATCCCTAGTGGTTTATCCTAACCAGTAGTAAATACTCGCATCTTCGTAAAGTACCATCCTATGGTTAGATTCACCCATCAAGACTGCCATACAGGCTACCATCTAACATTACGAACACTGGCATACATTTCACACACGGTGAATTCACAATGTTTCTACGACCATCTCAGACATGACTATTACACCAAACATTTTATAGTACAAGTACAGCAATCGCTGCTAATACACGATACCTCAGACATCATCAACACACACTATCCATAAAAACGTATATATAAATTGACCTTCTTCTCCTCTTCAGTTTCATATTCAACAAACACCTCAATCAACTCACTAACAAAACCCACTAACCAAGCTACTCACCAAAACTACACACGCACTCAGCCTACACCTACCCCTACATCTCACCCCAACCCTAAAATCCCAAACTACCCACCCTCCACCATGTCTTCTTCATCATCCTCCAATACCCCCTCTATCCCCATCATCACGGTGACCGACGACCAGGGCACCTCCCGTGCCATTGGCACCAACACCTTTGATGCCTTCTTACCCTCATCGCACTTGACCACCATGAGCGACCTCGCAGCGGCCAAACAGGCCAAAAAGGACGCACGCAAGCCCGCTGCCCTCGTTAGGAAGAGCAGCAAGCGCGTCACCGACGCGCTCAAGATGGGGGTTAGGTCGATGAAGAGCAAGGGAAAGAAACATGGTGAGGACATGGAGCTGCCAGAGGGTGCATCTTTCAAGGTCCACAAGGTGGTCAAGGTTGAGAGGAAGTGGGACGAGTAAATATGTCTTGTTTTAGCAGTTTCATTTGGGCTATTCTTTTCCGGCATTTCTTGGAGTTTGCTTTCAAGATACAAGTTATTCATTCACCATCATCTCTTAGAATCTCATATAGTATGTTAGAATAAAAGAATTGCTTCATCGCAACATCAAAAAAAGTCTTCTAATTTCCTCAATCCTCAAACGTATTATTTTTGATAAATCATCTAACTCATTTCCTTTGAAGTTCTCATCTAATATAGCTAGCCAACCACCCCGTCACCTTTTTTTTGCCGAAAGAATACAAGCAGCAGCAGCAGCAGCAGATATATCCTCCAGTCTTTGAAAAAAAAATATGCATGACGAAGCCAAAACGGGTTAAACGCCACACGCTCAAGATGCTCTAAAAACTACGTATCCCTTCCAGAAACGAGAAAAAAAAGGAGAAAAGGGGATTGATACTGATAGCCCATTTTTAAAATCCCACGGCAAGCATAAGGCCATAGCCCACCGTGATAATGACGACAAAAGTCATAATGGAAGCAGGTACACCACGAGTCAAAAAGTGCTTGACGGCGAGATACCGCTGGCCTGTCCGTGAGTCTTCCATCATAATAGCAGCTGTTCAACTCGTCAGTGATTTGATCGAATAAAAGCCCTATACGAAAGGATGTCAACTTACTCATGTTCGGGAACCCGCTAGTAGGCAATCCCATAGCTCCACTTGCCATCAGCACCGCGCCCATGACAAGCAAGTTCGGGTGCGGCTCCGCCATCTGCTGTCCCACCTGCTGCACCAGCGGCAGCACAATAAGCGCTGCGACAGTATGACTGATAAACGTCGCCACAACCAAGATCAAAGCGCAGAAAACAACAAGGACACCATACAGACTCATGCCTTCGACACCAGCAGTGATGGACTCGGCAATCGTATGCAGGAGACCAGACGAATTGACTGCTTTACCAAGCGATAGACCACCAGCGGCAAGAATGATAATGGTCCATAGGAAGTTGTTAAAGTCTTCCTTGGTGAGGATTCCAGTGCCAAAGAAGAGGACAATGGGGATGATGGCTACGACGCCCATGTCGCCAAAGATGAATTCCAGCTGGTGGCTCACACACCAGAGAGCAATCGTTACAATGGTCACAATGCTGATAAAGTACTGTACGCCAGTGAACCTGTCCTTGAGTGGGCGGATAGGCACAATGCTGGTGCCCTTTCCAGGCTGGAAGGTGACGAGGAGAAGTACCCAGATGAGCAAAATGGAGATGATGCATACTGGGAGGGCTACGAAGAACCAGACGCCCCAAGAGGGCTCGGGCTGCATGTTCTGAAGCGCAATCAGGTTCTGTGGTGAGGCAATGGGAGAAGCAGCTCCACCAATGTTGGAGGAGAGCGCGATTCCCATTAGTAGTGCTTTGGTCATGTCAGAGTCGGCAGGGAGGTTGCGTAGAATGGGCTAATAATGAATGTTAGCTTAGCATAATCAAAATTCCAGTTGAGGAACATACCTGGATAATCGAGAAGCACAGTACGGGCGCTGCTACATTACTGATCCACATGCTGGCAAACATAGCAACAAACATGTTGACCAGTAAAACCGTTCTGGGCTTGGTGCCTGCCTTGCTAAGCACAAGAGTGGCCATCATCTTGGCAATGTTGTACTTGGAAAGCGCAGCAGCAATAGTGAAACCACCGAGCAGCAGCATAATGACTGGTGTCCACATGGCGGAAAAGACATATGAAGCAGCTTGCTTGGAATCGAGTCGGCGATGGGGCTCAACATCGCTTCGAACGACGTTGAGAGTGACAGCCAGGAATGGCACTAGAAGCGATGTGACAAACAGAGGAATCGCCTATTCTCGTTAGCGTGAGCTCGACTAGTCCAGATTCGGTTCAACATACCTCCGTCGCCCAGAGCAAACTAACAAAGACAACCATGGCCAGGCAATTCTGCTGCTCAGGCTTTTCCATGATTGGCAATACCAGCAGCACTACAAAAATGGCAATGCAAGTAAGGAGCATCCAGAAAGGCTTGCTGATGAGCCATTGTGGACATCTGTATCTTCCAATCGGTGTGTCCACCTCCTTCATGTCTGATTCGTCGTCGTCGCCCTGCCGCCGCACTCTACCACCGGTAGTTTCGCGGCCCAGCAACGTCTGCGTGATGCCAATGTTGGCTGCCTGCGCCTTGCGCTCAATGCCAATCATTTCCCTCCATACCGTGTTTCGCTCCCAGACAACGTGCTCTCGGAGATGTAGTCTTAGCTCGCGCTTGGCCTCTGCTATGTCGCCCTTTGTACCAATCTTGGCATACGCCGCTTCTATGCGCTCGAGGTTGCGTGACAGCTCGTCCATGGTGCTTTGCTGGAAGGGATAGGCGGGGTAGACGTATTTGGTCAGGTACGTCTTCTTGAGCTTCCGGTCCAAGATCTTGTCGTATTTTTTCAGAACCTTTTCGAACCCTGTCTTGTTGAGCTGGATAAAGGATCGCAGCTCGCACAGCAAAACGTATACGCTGACAGTGCGCTTCTTCAACGATACACCCTCGTCGTACAATGCGGAAAAGGCCATGTCATGGTAGTCTTCGAACGCGACGCTGTTCAACCGTCTCGAGGAAGCGTGCGAGGCCGCCATATCCTCCTCGTTGGTCCGCCGACGTCGGCGCTGGCCATCTGGGCTCTTCTTACGCAGCCGCGATGTCTCGTCCATGTCTTCGTCCGAGTCGTCGTCGGGGCCGTGGTCTGTCGAGTGACCGCTTGTGCCACTCATTGCGCGCGGGCGCTGAAATCCAATCGACTTGAAAATGCTGCCACTGCGCCTCTTCTTGCCTGGCGGGGCATTTTCATTCTCCTCATTGTATTCGGCCTGGTGGTGTTCAAACGACTCCTCATCCTCGAGCAATGCATTCATCTCCTCGTAGATTTCATTTTCCTTGAGCTTGTAAAAGGACGTGACACGCTCGAGTTCGACGTCGAGGGCATTGGTAAAGACCTTGTCGGGGTCGGCGGCGTCCCCATTCAGCAGGGGTGACGACTCGGCGTCGACGTGTGCATTCCTCTGGTTGATCTGGGTCTCGAGGCTGTATATCCTATGGGCAAGCGCCCGTCAGCCTGGATGCTCGCGGCATGTCGGTGTTGCAGGCTGAAACGTACTGCTTCTTGAGGTTGCTGTAAGCAATGTAGTGATTGCTCCAGTCGGGCACTGCATTAAACTGCAGGCTGTGCGAGAACTTCATGTCGTCGGCCTCGCGAAGCTGCTCGAGCTTCTGGCGTCGCTTCTGCTCTCTCTCGGTGTCGTGGTGCGGCCGGGGCTGGAGGGGTCGGGTAGGAGCTGCGAGGTCCTGAAGCTCAAATGCCTGGTCGGGCGCACCGTCACGGAATGGGGAGGGAAAGGCGTCCACGGTGGGCGGGTTGTTGTGGAGGCTAGGGCAGCAAGTGGGCTAATAAGGCAGCAAATGCAAGTAGGCGAGCGGAGAATTGGCAGGCGACCATGTGATGTGGGCTGCGGCATCTGGAACACGGCATGGATGAGGTTGCTCGGGGGGATTTGGAAGTGGGTGCGTTGTCGTCACCGCGAACTGTGAGGCGGCCAAGCACGGCCATGTGGGCCGTCGATTGGTTCCCCTTGACCCTCCGCCGCCGCTGCCACACCCTCACCGATGGGACAGACGAGATGGAGGGTTGCTAGTAGTACCTATACATACACACGAGTCGTCACGCGCCCGTACATCCCACATGGGGGGTGGCTTTGGGTGCGCATATGTGCTATGTAGGAACCCTCAGCCCTGTATCGGATCCAGCTAGCCAATGCCTGCATTCACTTGCAGCAGCCTTAGTCGCCGCCACCATCCGCTCCCGCCAATCACACAGCAAAACGTGACTTTGGGCCTACTGCCGATTAGATAACACTTGCCGTCTCACGTGCCCACACCTCATGCACATGCACACAAAGTACAACTACTACACAACAAACTTGGTCTTTACTTCATCCATGTCTACATGCTACATCCATACATCCACGTACATGTCTCAAGTCCTTCTTCGTACTCATCTGTCCGCTTAGACTAGATTCACTGTTAGCTCACATCATCTCAATACTGCCATTCACGCTCAACTTACATCGGAGGTCCCAGCCAATCTTGGGTCCTAGCTTGGGTAGCTCTTCGGCAACGCTCTGCACGTCCTTGTCACCGCGTCCAGACACGCAAATGACAATGTCCTGATCCTTGTTCATCGTCTTCGCCAGCTCAATCGCTCCGTAGATGGCATGGGATGTCTCTAGCGCGGGGATAATACCCTCCAGCTGCGACAGGAGCTTGAAACCAATAAATGCTTCAGCATCATTGCATGCAATGAACTTTGCCCGGTCACTGTCCTTCCAGCTGGCCAACTCGGGCCCGACTCCGGGGTAATCGAGACCAGCAGATACAGAGTGTGTTTCGAGGATCTGTCCGTCGGTGTTCTGGATAACGTAGGTTCGCACTCCGTGAAGAACACCCTTTGTTCCTGCAGAAAGCGTTGCACTGTGTCGTCCCGTCTCAACGCCATCTCCACCAGCTTCGACACCTAGAAGCTTAACCGAAAGGTCCTTGGAGAATGGGTAGAACATGCCTGCCGCGTTACTTCCACCACCAACGCACGCAACTACAGCATCGGGAAGCTTGCCGCGTTTCGCCTGCATCTGCTCCTTGGTCTCGTTTCCAATAATCGACTGGAAAGTACGCACAATTGTCGGGAACGGGTGGGGTCCAATCGCAGATCCCACAACGTAGTGCGTCGTGTCAAGGTTAACAACCCAGGCACGCATGGCCTCGTTGACTGCATCGCGGAGAGTCTGAGATCCAGCCTCGATGGCCACGACCTGCGCACCAAGCAGCTTGATGCGGAACACATTAAGAGCCTGGCGCCTGACATCCTCAGCGCCCATGTAAATGGTACACTTCATGTTGAACTTGGCGCACACAGTCGCTGTTGCAACACCGTGCTGGCCAGCTCCTGTTTCCGCAATAATCTCAGTCTTTCCCAATCTCCTCGCAACCAATACCTGACCGAGTGCATTGTTGATCTTGTGACTTCCTGTGTGGTTGAGGTCCTCTCGCTTCAGCCAGATGTTCGCTCCTCCAGCATGCTCAGTGAGGCGCTCAGCAAGATGCAAGTGTCCGGGTCTGCCCATCCATTCATAGTATGAGCGGTACTCCTCCCAGAACTTGGGGTCATCTATCGCTGTATTAAAGCCATCTTCAAGCTCCCGGAGACAGTCCATGAGTGATTCAGGCACATACTGGCCTCCAAACTCGCCAAACCGTGCGGGGAACTTGTGCTTCTCTTTGAAGTCATCATCTCCGTTTGCGTCCTCGGTATTGAGCATGTCCAGCTGGTCGGCAAGGCCAGGTCCATCGGGGGTATCAGCATCAGTAATGACCTTGTCCACGTGAACACCAGTTGGCTCCTTAGCATCGTTCAAAGTCTCAATGATGCCAACCTCGCGTGTTGTCTCCCGGCTGCTCTTTCCACAGATGCCGTCGCAGTACTCTTGAACCGCCTTTGCGCCAGTGCCAGGTGCAGCCTTGAGCAGAGTGTTGATAATTTGGCTACCAATGACGACACCTTCAGCAATCTTGCCCACGCTCAAAAAGTGGTCGCGCGTGCTGACACCAAAACCAACAGCCGCTGGCACATTTCCAGAGTACTTGTGCACGCGCTCGAGAAGCTGGGGAAGGGCGGCATTCATGGTTCCGGTAGCGCCAGTAACGCCCATACGAGAGACGACGTAGATGAAAGAATCGGCAATCTTGCAGAGTACGCGCATACGGTGCTCCGAGGTAGCTGGCGCAATCAGAGGGACGTAGGAGAGGCTGCCCGTCATAATCAGTTCTGTCTTTTGTCCAATTGACTGCCAAACTCACCCATAGCTGCGGCAGAAGTTCCTGAAGCGCAGAGCCTCCTCAGGTGGGAGATCTACCATGATGAAGCCGTTGGCACCAGCTTCCTTTGCATCCTGCAACATCTTCTCCTCGCCGTAGCTCAGCAGAGGGTTGTAGTATCCCATGAGCAGGACAGGTGCCTTGAGACCGCGCTTTCTCGCATCGCGGACCATTTGGAGGACATGTGAAATCGTGACGCCATTTTTGAGAGCTTGCTATAGACACACAGTGTCAGGTGGGGTTGATGCGGGGAGTGGCGAGTTGAGTCAACGTACAGTGTTCGCTGTCTGAATGACTGGACCGTCTGCAATGGGATCGGTGAAAGGCATGCCGAGCTCAATGATGTCTGGAAGCATTAATCGCTTGTCCTGTCATGTTGCAAGAGCGATTGCTTGTGGTGCATACCTGAGCCGCCCGCCTCCATGGCCAACATGATGTCGGGTGTCTCTTCGGCGGTAGGGAAGCCTGCAGTCACATACGTGACGAGGGCAGACTAGACATTATCAACAATCAATTTCTCTCCAAAACGACACCAAAACGTACCCTGCCCTCCTTCTTGCATTGCGCAAACGTCTTCTTGATTCCGTCCATGATGCTGAGTACCGACGATGAAGTTGTGATAATGAAGCAAATCCGGATACGGCGTCCTTTTTTAACAATGTAACCGTGAGTCACAGAGTACGGAAAGGGGCGGATGACTTGGGGAGCAGTATGGAGACGTATGAGTCTTTGTGTTCACAATTTATTGAGGCCGAAAGCGGCATGTCGGAGGGGTCCTTAGGCCCGGCACCGTTGATTGGATGACGTGGCTGAGGGGTGCAGGAACACCATTGCTTCTAGAAGGCCAGTCCAGCCTCGCTGTCCGATTTTTCCGCGTCAACGTCATGTGGCAATAATGCGGGTCGACGATGCAACATCTTCAGCGCTGTAATACATATCCCCTGATATTTCCGCCTCGTATACTGAGTGTGCGTTGAGTCGGACATGGTTGGAATAATGTACCATGCTATTACACATCGTATGCCTGAAACTCTCTCAGATTGATTCATGTTATACCTCGGCGTATCTTATTCCGGCTCTTTTTTTTCCTTTGTGAGAACACCTTGCATATTATTGAAACTGTCCCTAGATATCAGTAGAGTAATGGGCTCATATCGTCAGGGACATCACGCTTTGTAGTTTCATTTTCGGACATGTTTAGATAAAAAGCAGTTCTTGGTGGGCCCTAACGCGTATTCTTGCCTCATCTTGCTGAAAGCAGAATGTTGTTGGCCAATTTATGGACTCCAGCTCCGCTTTTGTATTTGACCTTTTATGTGACCACAAAGCCTTCTTCCAAATCTGGATTCGGTCACCTGATGGCTGCTATTGACCATGCTCACGGATCTTGACGGAAGACACTGTGAATGCACAATGATGACTCCATGTGCTCAAGTAAGGAATCCAGAAGCCTACAAATCCCAGTAATGCCGTAAAGAAGCCATTCGACTTCAGCTGATCAATAGAAATAAGCGAACGTACATGTGTTTGAGTTTGTACAGCGACACTTGACATGAACTACCACGTTACAAATGATCTTGGGGGCTTGGCAATATGTTCTTAGATGGCCGAAGATGAATAGAGGACTAAGTTCAGAATCTGAAAATGTTCAATCAACAAAAGCCACCTCTTTTGCAGCTTTACCCTCAGATACGTTGTGCTGAGAACAAGAGGTATCTATATAGAATACGTTAACTGCATCGAATGAAATAGATCAACCTCTGTTTGTAAACCACATCATGCCAAAGACCATGCGTCTCATTTACGCTATCTATTTTGTTCATAGATAGAAACCTTGAAATCAACACTGTCTTTGATTTCCAACAAGATTTTATGCAGGACCGAATACAACATTCCATGAGATTCGCCAGTTCAGCATAGTATAGCGCTTTACACACTCGTTCCAGGTTCGACAGCTATGCAGCAGCGGCGTACTTATTTCACCCTTTCAATCACGTTTTTTTCGGCCGCTAGTGTTGATCTTTGGGCAAACCTTGATAGGACTCTGATGTGCTGCCGAGAGGTTTGGGCTGGGAAGGGATATCCGCTGTGACTATTTATATTTCTCTCTGCAGCCCAATCTACATAAGTATTGTAGAATCCTGTTCAGCAATACATACTCTTTGGCTCCTGTCCCTTCCCCACGAAAAATTGCTCTCGAGCAAGATTCGAAGCTCTGTTGAAAGCACTTCGATTCAACCCAAACTCCCCACACATCAAGCCATTTTCTCAGGTATAAATTCGATCTGTAACCTACCCATACTTTTGACTTTGCAGTCCACAATCTTAGTATACGCTAAACCCAGCACAAAAACGCCAGCCCAAATGCCCATCAGAATATAGAAGTAAAACACAGGATTCCCGTCTCAGATGAGCAGCGCTTCCAATGTGCTGCTACGTACTAGCCCAGGGAAAAAAACGTACAACTGTCTCTCTGAACAGTAGTATCATACACTTGGTAGGTCCCAAGCAGCGACATCGCATTGTCGACAAAGAGAACCTCTACCGCACTCCATACCTCCTATGCAACGTCCCCCACTCGGAGTCAAAAAACCTGCCAAAACCTCGAATCTCGCACATGCGGTTGAAGCATTTCTGGCAAAGTTGGTTGCGCAACCTCGTTCTCTCACAGCGGCCATCTCGTCTGGGATCTCGCTCCCAACTCGGATCGGGCTGTCCGTGTTTATCTAGCGGGCCAATCTTCCAGTTGGCATCGATGCGGCGTCGCAACCTCGTATCGTCGAATGCGCAGGGAAAGCCTAGACGGTCACCGTCGAATTCTTCAAGCCAGGTGCAGTTTTTCTCCCTTGCTTTGCGGTAGCACCGCACGCACAGCTGTCCGCGATGGCGCACCGTACCGCACAGACGCGAATCCTTTGGGTTGAAATTGCGGCGCCACGAGTGAGAGCGGTATTCTGGATCTTTACAGGCACACAAGAATGACCAGCCTTTTCTGATGCGCTCGGTGGTTTCCAGTTCGAGTTGGCGTTTGTATGTGTCGATGACTTGGTTTATTGATTCCGTATCTGGCAGCGTTGCTGACCGCTTGTATAGCTCCTCAAAGCTCATATTCTTACACCATGAGCATATCTCTGGACCTTGTTCTTGCCCTTCTGGACAAGAGTCACAAGCAGCGCCTAGTAGGCAGTGGGTCCTTGGAGGCGGAGCTCGCATGACAAGCAAAAATCGTACAGCGATGAATCTTACAGTGTTAGTAGCAACAGTATCAGGGAGAAGATTACTTACTTTGAAGGGTCAATCCAAGTTATTTCGGGTCTGAACTTAGGATTGTGTTGTAGCCCTCCACATCGTCGTCGGATTCCTCACTGCTCTCCTCTGAGCTTGCCGACCTCGTGACGACTTTGTCGACTACCTCATGGCAGAGCCCAGTTGGTGTAAAGTACTGTAGGACCCTGATCTTCCGTAGTCGTCTCCTCCAGCACTTTGAACAAGCAGTACCTTTTCTGCGAACAGACGGGCAGTCGAGACGGGTGCCGCGGAGGCTCAAGTCAAGCAGTCGCCACCGACAATGCTGGTAATCGGGATCTTCAAAGGCGCACAGGTAACGACCACGTGCCTCGATGTTTCTCTTCAACACTTGTTTACGCGCAGTTTCTTCGTTGATGGATAGAATAGCAATAGAGTTGTTGTTGGCCCACACGCGGAGCTGTTGCGGATCGTGTCGTTGGAGACAGTCTGGACACACCCGATGTGAAACTTGGATCTTCCTCCCAATGCCGAGACAATGAGGTCCAGAAAGGCATTCGACGATTGGTGGGGGCTTGAATAGCGAGTCGGCAGCCGAAGACATTGGCTGGCGCCGAGAACCTGATAGCCTGGACTTCCGCGCTCGACTCCTTTACGTTTAGTTCAACGTCCTTGCATCTCGCCTTGTGTGACGTGCTATTTCCGGGGTGAGCGTTTGTGACGTCTGATACGGTACTCCGGATTCCTGTACCACATGATAAGACGCTTTGGAGTAGGAAGAGTCTTCAGTCAGGCACTCTAGGGTCGCATTTTGCATGCGATGAAAAAAGGATAGCGGAGGAGGGGATTAGCCGTTTCCGGGATCATGAGTAACAGCCAATGCAATCGAGCGAACCCTTTCAGACGCGGCAAGCTATGGTCACATCGATGGAAGCTTCTTGTGGCGTAGAATCTGTCCGACAATTCGTCTCAATACTGACTTGGCGGCGTGTGGCCCTGATCAGCTCGGTTGGCTAACGAACGTTGTGGCCAAACCACATCCTTGGGCCAATTAGCCACTGCCCGTAAGGAGACGCTCATGAACACTATATCGGGCGTTAGGATGCGCTTTGCCCAAAAGCTCTGATCACTCCGGGGTAGCAGTTTTACGGTCAGAGCATGCACACAATGCCGGCCGGCTCGTAACATGTTAGCTGAACCGGATCTCACACGTACAGCCCGGCTTCTGCCGGTCTCATTCGTCGGGCGAGGGCTGGAAAATAGTGGCGTTCAGAAGAACTTTGTACATGCAGTATGAACATAGTATGACTGCCGAATCTCCGAAGGCTGAAACTCGCCGTGATTCGATGATGCCATGATAAAGTTTCGCTTCCAACATCCTAAACGTTGCTGGAGATCATCGCGCACGTGCGAAGACTTTGCTGATGAAGCCCAAGCTACTGACTCGTCCCGGTCCATCCGCCTGACAATGTAACCAAGTCTGCGTCGTTATCTGAAACGCTGTACTATATCTCTACCTTCTTGCTCTTGCCAGCGTTGTGCAACGGGCTACGCCTGCGGTACAAGCGAACAATCGCTAAATTCCGATCAAGAACATCCTTGTAACACCATGTGCTGATCGACGTCTAGTTCACAGAAACGACCTGTGCATACTGGTCTGTCTGTACCACCTGGGCACTGATCATCGAAGCTTCCAGTGGGACTAGTATTGCCTTTGATGGACATATGCAATCAAGGAAGGTAATGCACTATCCACTCAGCGTTCGTTGTTCAGGTATGCGCTGCAGATAACGTTCGGCTTTACCCATGTTAGATCTTGGTAATGTGATCACGGAGCTCTCACAGGATGTGCCCAAATCTCGACCAATTTGCCTGCACCTGACTCCAGATTTGGTAGCATATGCTATGCAAAGGAGTGAAGAATCAGGCTAAGTATGACCGAACAAGTGGATTGCCACAGTGGATACCTTTTGAGCACGCTGAGCTTGCCTAAAGCAATACACAATGTAGCGTTACAGTACGCGTATGCAATGCATGCGTTCTGTAGGATAGTACAGCTGCCCTGCGGGATGGTGGAGTACTTGAAGACGGTTCAAATGTTTGGTTTGTGCAGTCCCGCCTGACTGTACATGTTGCGTCCCTAGCTCTGAACAGGTTAGGTAGCTCGAGCTTCTCCTGTAGGCGGCCTAATAAGACGGCTGGCAATAATCAACATTACGGGGGAAGAGGGGTCACCTGAACAGTTTCATATTGCAAGGACCACTCTCGACGTTGACTCTTGACACTGCACGACGAACTTGCGCTTGATGCATGGGACTGCAGAAAAGACGTACGTAACTCGCATAACCGCCATATGCCGCAACTTGAGCTGAAATCGGATCTACACATTGGCTTCTTTGTGCGAGTAGTAGTGTTTCGTGACGGTAGAGGGCACCGTATCGAGGCTGGCTGAGAGCTACGGCCAGGGAACAAGAGAAGGAGAGGGTTATCATGATTCGCTCGATGACACTGTGTTGACCTTGTCTGTAGCGGATAGTCCGAGGAGTCATTACCTCACTTCGCACCCCGGATAGGGCTGATGTTACACACTACGAGGCTGACGGCTCCATGGCCCAAGCGCGTAGTCTCCATTGGGAGATTGCTGCGGAGGCTGGCTGGAGTACTTACGTCGTACACGTATCGTACTCTCCGTGTCGGTTCTGCTCCCGTCGGGCTGCCTCTGGTGGTTGAGGGTTGCTGTGGCAAGACGTCCTACGTGGGGTCGGCTAAGACTCGGCAAAGCTGTAAGTCCTGTATATACGTCGGTCGCCCCAGGCAAGCGGTTGTGTATATGCAAGCCCTTGGGATCTTCGTCGCCCCTGTCCGAGGTGGCACTGCGCAGAGACCTCGGCGGCGGCGAAAGGAAGCGCGGATGGAAATAAGTATGTTGTTGGCCTGTTCTTTTTGACGCGCGGCTGAATCAACACACTGGCTCTGAAGCACGGGCCGTGTATCCCTGCGCCTTCACTCAATGAAAACATGTGCAACAACGTGCAACAATAACATTGCCTCCCGAGCCGTACGAGCAAGTACGTCACGGTACGCGCCCCGGGAGACTCTGACCCTGCTGCCATCTTCCTCTACGACAAGCATCTGAGGCTGGCTGAATGCTCTGGGGCTCCAGCTTTCTTCTTCGGGGCCGCTCTGCCCCTGAGAGCGCATCATCACCACCACCACCACTTGGCAGCCCCGACGAAGCTTCTGATGACGAAGTTGCGCCTTCGGAGGTTCGGCACATTGATGCTTCAGAATTGCAGCCCACTATTGTTTTTGATGACAGTGGTGACTCCATCTTGGTCTTGGGCACCGATTCGTCGGGCCACCAGCCCGTCCAGGTATCCAGGACGGCCATGATTCTGGCTAGTCCGGTGTGGAAGAAGATATTCGAGCGGCACTGGAATGAGAATGGAACGGCCGCTATCCCCTTACCCGACGACGAGCTAGATGCAATGCACATTGCCCTCCGAATAGCTCATCTCCGCTTCCACGAATTGCCCAAGAAGAATGGACTCACCATCGATGCCCTTCTCCAACTTTCAGTCGTGTGCGACAGATACGACCTTGTCAAGCTGGTTCGACCCTTCTTGGATCTCTACGGCTGGGCTCAGTGCCACTACCCCGATACCACTTCAGGGGAACGATGCCACCCGGCCTGGTTCTTCGTGGCATGGACCTTTGGCTACAAGGACAGCTTCCAAAACCTTGCCAAGTTTGTGGTAAAAAGGACTGGCTTAGATCAACGTGGGAATGCAATGATGGATAGTGGCCAGGCATTTCCGCTTCATATGCCGCCCGCACTACTTGGTAAGCCGCCTCGCTGTCCTTTGTTCAAACACCTTCACGCTTTACTGACGCTCTCAAAGAACGAATAATGGAAATCCGAGAAGCCACTCTTACAGCCATGCTTGATGTTCTCTACGATATTTTGGACGACATCACACACGTATATGTGTGTCAAGTCGACGAATCATGTGAGCAAAAGTGTCGCGCCATGGTTTTGGGTTCATTCATCTCCTTCCTCCTAGAAAGCAATCTCTACCCAGTACGACGCGCGGCTTCCGGGACTTCTTTGAGTATTCAGCAATTATATGATCATGCAAATGCTGCTGAGATTCTTACGTTTGAATCGCACGACTATGCGGAGATGGCAGCCCATGTAAAGCGAACCAATTGCGACCCGGCAAAAGCTACGGCCGATACATTCAAACACCAAGGTGGTCTTATCCTCCACAAAAAGTGCTTTGGAGCATTTCATCTTCGGTCGAAACTGCGAGCGATTTATTCGGACATCGATTCGGTGGTGCTCCCATCTCATATACAACATATGGATGAGCAGGCTGCAAAGTAATTACCCTGGTCTAGCCTCCAAACGGTTCTTTTTATAGACGAATGATGTTGGATCAAACTCACCAGGCGCCGACAGTGATGTTGGTGTCAAACCGGCTTTAGTCCGTCTGCACGCTCCACAGGCCGTTCATCGCTAGTGCTACCTCATACGTACAGCTTGGGCGAGAGCGATTTTCTAGTCTCAGGCACCGAGGTGTTATCTCCATTCTTCCGTGTTCCGACCAGACTTGAGCCAGTAGCACGTACTGTGTAATCCACTCATCACATAGTCGCTATCGCTTGTGGAAGCTGGCAATGCAAGGTTCGCGCTAACGCGTGTGAGAAGGCCACCCCGCTCCCAGCAAGACTTGGTACTTGGCGACCTCTTCTTCGACCTTCCGGATACAGCCGGTCCAACTTGAGCATTCCACCAAATTGATTATGCTCCGAGATGCAGCCAAGTATGCCGTCGATGAAATTGCCTGTTTATGACGGCAAAGATGGGACTGGCAACAGATAACCCATGCTTGGAGGAATTGGCGGCAAACATGCCCCCCACGTACTACGTAGTAAATAAATACTACACCGCCCATGCTCGGTACTTTGTCCTGTAGGAACATTCGTCACGACATGTTTCCATCCGCTCGCTCCGCGGCCATTGCGCTGTTGGCACTAGCCGCGCCTTCTCTCGCTCAAGTCCCATCTGAGCCTGCGGGCCTCAAGGTGCTCGAGTCGCGCTTCGGAGATGGTGTGAAGATTACTTACAAAGAGGTTGGAAGCCATTGGAAAAAGATCGTTTTGTATCACAGCCAGATTATCTAATAGTAATGTATAGAACAAGCTTTGTGAGACTATACCAGACGTCAAATCATATTCCGGTTATGTCTACCTACCCCCCGGAACCGCCGACTTGGGTCAGGGACAGGATTATCCTATCAATACCGTAAGCAGCATGTCGCTATGGCTCATTTGTTGAGATCCTAAGTTCTTGCTCTAGTTCTTTTGGTTTTTTGAAGCCCGTGACGATCCGGCCAATGCACCACTTACAATCTGGTTGAACGGTGGACCGGGTTCGTCCTCAATGTATGGATTGCTCGAGGAAAATGGGCCGTGCTACGCAAACCCAGACTCAAACTCAACGAGACCAGCTGAATGGAGCTGGAACAGAGCATCGAACATGCTCTATCTCGATCAACCCGTGCAGGTTGGCTTGTGAGTTCTCTTATCTAAGAGGGCCATGGCACGTGAATTGACAATTGTTTCCAGTTCATACGACACTTTGACAAATGTCACCAGAAACCTTGCTACGGGACAGGTCACGGTGTTGAATGACACCACACCTCTCCCTGAACAAAACACTACTTTTCTTACAGGCACCTATCCTAGCCGTAACCCCAACACCACATTTTTCGGTAGCGTCAATGGCGCCGTGGCAGCGTGGGAGTTTGCGCAGGCTTGGTTCCAAGAGTTTCCTCACATTGTGCCCAATGACACTCGCATTAGTCTCGCAGCCCAGTCGTACGGTGGACGCTATGGACCCGCTATGATGTCTTTCTGGGAGGAACAAAATCAGAAGATTGAGAATGGCACTCTCAAGGAAGGCTACGTTATGCACTTGGATACCCTGCTTCTTATTTCCGGCTGCATCGACCGCTACATCCAGTTTCCCTACTATCCTCAACAGGCTTACAAAGGCAACGGATATGGATTTGAAGCCGTCAACGAGACGATCTACAATGGCATGGTAGCTGCTGTCCCAGAGTGTCTAGAGAGGATTCAAAACTGCCGCGATGCCGCTGCTGTGTCTGATCCGGAAAACCTAGGCATCGACGCTGGTGTCAATCGCATTTGCGAGGGTGCAGAAACCTTTTGCCGTAACAACATCGTCACCCCCTACAACAACTATGCTGGGCGCGACTACTACGATATTTCCACGCCATCACCTCCACCCTTCCCACCGCCATTCCACGAGGGCTATCTGAACCGCGAGTGGGTCCAGGCGGAGCTCGGTGTGCCTCTCAACTGGACGGGTAGCTCCCCGCAGGCTTCAACCGCCTACCGTGCCATTGGCGACTACCCGCGTGACGGATGGATTGAGGATCTCGGCTTCCTTCTTGACAACGGGATCAAGGTATCACTAGTGTATGGAGATCTCGACTTCGCCTGCCCCGTAAGTATCATTATGCCCAACGCAACCCTTACTCATGCAATCTCCTTGCTAACAAAAAGACATATCAGTGGGGCGGTGGCGATGCTGTGGCCAAAGCAATCAACTGGACAGGGTCTGCCGGGTATGCATCTGCGCAGTACGCCGAGATTCAGACAAACGACTCATACGTCGGCGGTCTCGTCCGCCAATACGGAAACTTGAGTTACATCCGCACCTACCAAGCCGGCCACGCCATTCCTGCATACCAGCCCGAGACGGCTTTCAAGATCTTCACGCGTGCCTTATTCAACCTTGATATTGCTACCGGCACCGAGTCGACTGCCGGCACGGATGATGAGAGCACGTACATGAGCACAGGACGGCCCGATCCAAATGTGCAGTTTGAGGCGTATACATCCGAAAGGCTAACGTTTTGCTATACTTGGGATCTCGGCTCCTGCACTGAGGATCAGGTCGATGCAGTGTTGGATGGATCCGCCGAGATTTGCCAGTACCTGGTTGTGGATGCAAACTCGACGCAATTGTTTCCCGAGGTGATTGCTGGATGCCGCGGCGGCAACGCTAGTATCTCTGGCATTCATTATTAAAAACAAAGAAACATCCGCCGAGGTTGTTCGGAGGCATCGCAGCTAAGACAATGAGTAGACGATAGGAATGTTTGCGGGGTCGGGAACTTGGCGTCACGGGGCCATACCAGTCTTCTTTCCCCGATCCGAATCCGAGTAAGATAAAAATGAATAACGACAAGAGATATTGCGTAAAAGCTTCTCGTAACATGAAACACGATGACTTGTTCTCCAGAAAACCACTTTTGCAGCATCTTCCGTTATCCTTGATCGGTGAACTGGTGGCGATGCACAGACAATCACGATAGACCCTTGATTGTCGCTTTTTCTTTGCTTTTTGACAACACCCACGTGTATTCCCATACGCCCGAAGAAAAAGAAAGCAAATAATAATCACTAATATGAAAAAAATACTCGGTTGGACTAGGCACACTCACATAGTATCGGGCAGCTAGGTAGAATAAACAAAGTTACGGTTAGGAAAAGAAAACAAGGGATACCATCTAATCATCGCTAAGATTAACGCCTCCGAACTTCTCTGCTTTCTTCCTCTGCAACAAATCCGCATCATTGGCGAGGTCAAGGCCGTGGTCCTTTTTCTTACCCTCCGCTGCATGTCCACTGCCCTTGCTGTGCGTCTCACTGTCCACATGGCCTCCGTTGTGCGCACCAGACTCCTCGTTCTGAGCCTTGGTACCACCTACGGGACCCCCATCAGTACTACCATGAGTACCATTCTTCAGACCAGAAGACGCATCAGCCCCGCCTTCACTTAGGTTGACACCGCCAAATTTCTCAGCCTTCTTCCTTTGCAGCTGATCCGCATCATTGGCGACATCGTGACCGTGACCCTGATTCTTAACTTGCGTCTCAGCACTCGCATGGCCAACAGCGCCGCCATCACTGCTTCCCCCATTAGTGCTACCATGGGCCTTGCTCTTCCCCACAGAAGACGCATCAGCCTCATCGTCACCTAGGTTCACGCCCCCAAACTTCTCTGCTTTCTTCCTCTGCAACAGATCCGCCTCGTGGCCGACATCGTGACCATGCTCCTTACTCTTACCCTGCATCTCTCCACTGTCATGCGTACCGAATGACTCCTCAGTCTTCCCCTTGGTACTGCCATCAGCATGTCCCACAGGACCTCCATTAGCAGTACCACTCGCTCCACTATTCTCACCACCAACCTCTTCATCATCCTGTAGATTGACACCCCCAAACTTCTCAGCCTTCCTCCTCTGCAGTAAATCCGCATCACACGCTCCTCCACCCTGTCCCTTCTCCTGCTCACCTCCATCCAACGTAGCCTCCCCATGCAACATCTCCACATCCGCATGTCCTCCAGCTCCACTACCTACATCCTCCGACCCCACCGCATCTTTGACCCGCTGCTCGCGTGCGTGCGCCGCCGAGTCGTGCGACGTCGCGCCCGCGATGCCGGCTTCGTCGGTGTCTAGTTTGGAGTGTTTTTGCTGGATGTGCGAGGTTGGGGAGGGGGAGGTGTGGTGGGGTTCTGAGCGCTTTTTCGAGTCGGATTGGGAGGTGGATGTTTGGGTTGCGGTGCCGCCGCCTGAGAGGCCGGGGAGGGCTGTGGTGATGGTGGGTCAGTTTGGTATACGTAGATCTGTTGGAGTGTGTTCTTTTGGGTTGTTGTAATGGATGGATAGGGTGGGGAACGTACTGTCTCCTTTTTCGCCCTCGGGCATGGGTGCTACGTGTTTGGTGTGTTGGAGGGAGTTCTGTAGTTAGGTTAGCTACACTCATGGCTTCTTGTTCGATTACGTGTGGTGAATGGGTATAGTAGAGGGAGTGGGCTTGTATTGGAGAAGGCACCATACATCTCCAGTTGTACCGTGAAGAATCTCATGGCCTTCGATGGGTCCGTTGTCACTGGATCCGTCTCCGTTACGAGGCATCTTTGTAATATCTAAATTCTTTCAAGATACTTGAGTTGTAATATGATTGTTTGTTCGTTGAAATCTCGTGATTGTTATGCTAAGACAAGAAGAAAAGTATTCACGCAAATTCAAGTTTTGCTCTTCTCGTCCCATGACGCCCTTTTATTCCATCAACATCTACCCTAATTGTCTAGCTGAAAGTTGGCAATCGCGTGGCTTCCACTTTCATGGTCAAGCGACGTCATAGTCTGAGGCGTGGTGTTGTGGCACTAACATGCGCCACTGAACAACGACGGAGCAGGTCCCGGGGCTAGTACCTATGTATGACATGCACTATTTCAACTCCTTTTCGCGCAACCAAGGCTTCGTGTTGTTTTCAGCTAAATGATGTACGGGGCTGGTGGTACGCGTGTGTGCTTGGTACTGGTGATTGTCGTGTCGTGTCATGGTCTCTTTGTGGAAGGTGGGTTGGCATTTAGACTACAAATTCCGGGAAAAAGTACATGCATACAATACGAGACAATAGATAGTGTTGCCGTCGGAATACCCCGATCATCTATTGACGAAGGAGATAATAGGCTTAATAAACAACTCGATGCTTCCAAAGCGGCGCCTTCCGTACACTGTCAATATCCCACTCTACCTTGCCTTTCTCATTCATGATAGCGCCTTCATCCGTGACTCGAGTTCCAAATGTGCCAAGGTCCTCCTGTAGCTCAGCAACCTCGTGCTTGCTGATGCCGGGACGATCCCTGGGGAGCCATATGACGTCTTGGCGTTCAGCTAAGACTGGATGCAGGTAGGCCTCAATGACTTCTTTTTTCGTATATGGTGGGACAGGGCGGCAAAATCGAGTTGCGAGAGATGCAGAGATATCGCTAGTAGATAGCGTATGTGGTGCCAATATCCTCTTTAACAACGATCGCTGTGTTGAGGCGTCGGCAGGAGGTGCAATACCAGCAGCTTCAGAGCCTTTGATAGCTCGCTGCTCGCTATTGTAGCGGGAAACAAGAGCTTGATCAGACCGGATACCATCTTTCTTATACCCAGGAGACACACGGTTGGCGGTAGAAAAATGTCCGGCTTCGGCATTGCTCAGTTGCCCCGAGTGCTCAGAGTCGTCGAGCAGGTTCAACTGCTTAACCTTTCGCTTCATGAAGATGTGGAAGATGACCGTTGCAACGATCAACACCATTTGAAGGACGGTCGGCCCAACAGAGGTAATGCTACCACCGATACCAATACCAAAAAGACCCAGCAGACAGAGTTCTCCAAGGTATACTCCAACCATGAGCTGTTCCAGAGCGCGCGCATAGAACCCTCCCTTGGTATCGATTTGCGTGTCGTGAACGTACATCATGTTGTATCGGAACGCAACGTAAATCATTCCGATACCGACTGCTGCAAAGCCCAGAACAAGCGGCGCAATCGTGGCATAGCAGATGGCAATGACGCCCAAATTTGTCCATTTCGGGTACTCTGCGCCCCAGGATGGTTCGCCCAATGCCACATAACGATTGTACTTCTTCCTCGGCGTTTTGGCGAATTTGCTTAGAATAACGACGCCCACCAAGCCCCCAATATTGAAAAGATGTTTCGAAGATATAGCTAGACCGAAGAGGATGAAATACGAAATGTAAAAGTTGGAGGCCTTTGGTAGGTTCTTGGATAGCAGACCGACGGCACTTTTGGGGTCGGAGACGATCTGGCTGGCTACTGCCGCGGCAGCCGAGGTGAACGTTGTAATGAGAAAAACTTGAACAACTTGAAAGGCAAAGTACCATTTCTGTGTTTGTTGTTCGACCTGGGAGATGGTGACTGCACCGGCCAACTTGGCAACGACTGTCAAAACGTTAGTTGAGAAAGGTGTAGGAAGACCGATCTTGAGAACATACCGCGACAGATGACGGGGACTAAAGCCATGAGAATAGCGAGTGCAACGACTGGCAAGAGTCCAGTCACGACACCAAGGATAACCTCGGGAATTTCGTTGATAAATGACAAAAACGGCACATTCTCTGTGAGGTAGTTGATGTTGCTGATGGAACCAACTACAGCAACAGGGATAGACCAGAAGAGAATCATAGCTGAAATGAAGATTGTGGCGAGGAGGTGGCGCAGAGATCTGCCTTTGGAGCCCATGTTGAGATTCTTCCAGATGACTTCCTCCGGCAAAACACCCATCTGTCTAGAGCTAAACTTGGTGGGCCTGCGATGTTGATTTGTGTTGAAGGCGGCCTCAGCCGCGATTATCGTGTCAAATTCGATGAATACCGCGCTGTCAAGCTTTTCCTTCCCAGTGAGATGCGAACGTTGCGCAGTCTGGACCTTGGGGAGCAGTTCCTTGATCTGGTTGCGAAAGTAATCAATTGAGTCCACCTTTTTACCAATCAAAAACTTGGTCTTGTGTGTTGGGCGCAATGCCTTGTCATATGTGCCTTTCTCACTGCCCTTCTTTTTTTGCTGTTTGGTGACCTTTTGCATGAACTTTGTTTCGCCGGCCTCAAGTTTAATGACAGCCTTGTCGAGGTCTGCGACATCGTCGTCTAGGTCGTTCACATTCGGAACAAGCCAAATTTGGGCGACTCTGGGAAACATGTTATGAAGCTCTTCAAGAGATAGAGACTCTTGCGGGACATCGGTAAAGAGGACTGTACGCTGGGAGATGCGACTCGCATTCCATGTGGTCAAGCAGTAAGCTTTTCTGAGTTTGACCAGGTACAGCATTTCTCTGTAGATAAGGAATAAGACCCAGCCGAAGAAAATCCAAGCAATTAATGCGTGGGCAAAGTAGCGTGCTTCATTCTCGACGTTGGAGAAGCTGAGAATGTCCAGACCAGATTCGCCACCACCACCTGTGGCATTGACAGGGAAGAGAACAGGCCAGGTAATAACGGCACCTACAAAGGCCATCAAAGTGAGTACCTTTAGGAAACGCATGTAGAGATATGCATCGAGAGAGTGGTGATTGAGGACGTATTCGTCACTCAAGTTGGTGAATTTCTTAACCCAGCCTAGGAAACCCTGGCCTGCTGGAGGTGTTTTCTCACTGCATCGTATCATCAGAAAGTATTATTGTCAACTAAGTTGGGAAAGCGTACTCTTCTAGAAGTGCATCGTGATATGTTCGTGGGGCATAGAGGCGCCTCTGCTTGTTACGCAACACCAAGAATAAGGTAACCAGAGCAACAGCAACGATAAAACTGGGCACGAGAGTTGAGACAAGGGCGGATAATGAGGATCCACCACCGCGGTGGCTACCTTGTTGCTCAGACATGGCGACTGTGGGGAAGAGGAAGAGGCCGCAATGCGGGGACAGAGGCTATAATGTTCGTACTTGCGAGGTCCAGCAGCGTCCTATGTAGTTGGTGCACATGCAGCGACGTTGAAAAATGGGAATTGCATCATAGGAGCCATTTTGTGGAAGAGTTTCCATAAAAGATCCAATGTCATAGTGCATTGTCCGGCACGGCACTTTCGATTAGTGGCTTTGCTGTGATCCAAGCGTCGTACAACATGTGAAGCAGAAATAAAAGGGATGAGCGCGGAGTATAGGGCGATGAGAATGATAAGCGGTATGGGATAGGCTAGAGTGTGCAGTTACGTCGATCCAAGACGGTTGTGTGGCACTTAGTAAAGCTTGTGGATACGAGGCACATGGTGATGATGCGGGAGCTAATTTGGTGCGTCCATGTCGTCATTCACATGTCTGCCATGAGTACGGGTTATTTTGCCAATAACAGTATGAACCGTGACCCCTTTCCTCAAGCATTTCGTCTGTATGTAGTTAATATCTGCTTAGAAGGACATGACGCAATCACAAAGCAAAGTCTGATTGATGCAGATGGAAAAGATAATCAAGCAACAACGCGTGCTTGTACAATCATGACATAATCCAGCCCAATACTATACACTACATAGCCGTGCCATATCACGAACTAACCAATCATTACCTTAACTCATAAGTAGCCTCGTCACCGCGCCGACATTCAATGTCCTTAGATCGCTGTAATGCTGCCCCGTGCCCAAGAAGACGACTGGAATACCAGTTGCATGCACCATCGACACAAGCGTGCCCACCATATCTCCCACGGTGTCGCACTTTGAAATGACAAAGCCATCGAGATTTCGTCCTGGGCCAAAAGAGGCATTGAAGTTCCGGGCCTGAGCGACAGAGTCTGTGCCGACGAGGGCTTCGCCGACCATGAGGATCTTGTCAGGGTTGGCTAGCTTGCCAAACTTCTCGAGCGACGACATGAGTCGCTGATCGTTGTGGCGCCGACCTGCCGTATCAATGAGGACCACGTTGAAGTTGTTCTTGGTCGCAAAAGTTACGGCATCGGCAGCAATGTTAGCGGCATCCTTGCCGTAACCCTTTTCAAACAGATCGACGTGCCCGCCCTCTCTTTGGGATAGCTCCTTCAATCGATCGACGTGTACCCGTAGTTGCTCCACCGCGCCAGAACGGAAGGTATCCGCTGCTGCGATGAGCACACGATGATGGTTTTGCAGCAGGAAAAACGCAATCTTAGAGAGGTTCGTCGACTTTCCAACTCCGTTGACGCCAACAATGGACAGTACGTAGGGGCGAGTGGTAGTAGAATTCGTGTGCTGGATTTCGCGAAGCAGGTCAAGGGAAGAAGTCGGGGTAAGTATCTTGGTAAGGGCTTTCTCCATTGACGACTTGATCGTTGTCTCGATGGCTGTCATGGCCGCATTAGTAAAGCGCCCAAGTAAGAAAAGAGTGTGGAAATGACTGACTAGTAAAGCTGGGTGTTTTGATGCCCACAAGGTCACGCTCCACACTTTCGCATAGTCGTACTGCTGCTTCGCGCGCAACGTTCTTGCGCAACAAATGCTCTTCCATGCCCTTGAGAGGCTTGGCAAGATCTTCCTTGGTCAGTGTCTTGCCACCTACCACATTCCTAAACAGGCCGCCTATTGCGCCTAGACTTGACCCAACCAGGCCGCCAGCTGCAGCCGGTGTGTCCTTGTCCCTCTTTGCATTTTGGGCTGCG